TCGATCTGATAGAGTCGACAAGAAAGTTGACGACAGAAGAACATAACTATATTCCAATAATTTTTGGGACAATTTTGGTTCTGAAAATTTGATGCTACGTATGGAATTAAATATTTTATTCATGTGAAAGTTTCTCATAGCAATGCAAAAGTATGGTTATAGTGAAACGAAATCGACAACTTTTATGAAAAGTTGTGATTTCTTGATCTTTGGATGAATAGAGACATGCTAAGTATTTTTGTCTTATGAGTTCAATTTAAATGATACAAATTAAAGTTGTATGTATTGATTGTAAGTAACAAAACACAAATTAAAGGATGCGTCTATTAGTTCGAAGTGAAAAGACACGAGTAAAAGTCATGTCTAGTCATCTAAATGACACATTAAGTTTGTGACCTTATTTGATAGCCAAATATTACTTTTGTAGTGAAACTTTTTGAATTGGTAGTGCTTACTTTTACATTGTTATGTTCAATGTCAATGCATTTGATATGGTGTTATGTTTGAACATTTTTATTATTTGTGGCTGCTAAGTTATTATATATCTGCATATGATATAAATTAATTAGTGTCAAATACCTTAATAATAAAAATGTGAAACATATGCATAAACAATGGTTGCAAGACTACTTCGAAATAGAAGTTGGAAGTTAATGCTGGTATAAGACTTTGTTGTATATGAACTTAATAATTTTAAACTAAGGGATGCAAGAAATATTTTGTCACTTTTATAGATAATCGCTCATATTTATGTGCAGGTTTATCTAGTAAGAATAGTGGATAAAAAATTTGATACGTTTTACAAGTAAATCCCTAGTCTAAAATTACTCTAGTAGGTAAAATGAACTAGTATTTAATAAACAACAAATAGTTTGTCTAAAAATATAAAACTCTATGTGTCATAGCAATGCTATGCTAGTGAATTTAAGTAGCCAACATGTTTGTAGAATAAATATTATTAAATACTTGTCATGTGTACAATTAAACTCCGTAAAGACTAAGTGTCTACATGTGAAATCTGGAAGGGAAGAAAGTTGTATAATCTAATATAAAAAGTTCAAAGTGACACTACATATTGTTGTGTTCGTAGTCGAAACTAAGAACACTTAAGTGTGTGGTTATATGAACACTAAACTGTCTAAACTACTTATCATTGATTATAATATATCAATATAATCAATAGATGTAGATTCATTTAAAATTTGTTTTTAAAGTTTCTAAACCAAGTAGCTAATGTATCATCTAGTGAACCTCTCACTTTCCAAAGTGCAAGTGGTTTAATGAGTGAACCAAAGAGAAAGACATTGACGTTCTGGTTTAAGCAAAGTCTAAAACTTATGAAAGTTCTTTTGGAAGTTGGATCCTCGAAGGCTACTGTCTTCCTAGTGAGAGCAATAAAAATACTCTACTAAGTAGAAATTTATGATGATTTTTGTAGAATAAGTGAAAAACAATGAGTTTTTTGAATTTTAGGTTGATGCATATGGAAAGAAGAGTTAATCATGGAATGGACTTGACATTGTCTCACGATGTATGTATCCAAATTGATTTAACTTGAAAGGTTCCAGACTAGTACATTGTAAATGGTTATTTCATTAGTAATATGTCGTTGATAGCAAGAGACATCAATAGTATATTTGGACTTGAAGTGTCATGATTACTTTGATTAGTTTGACTTGTATATTTTATCCTACTGGTTAGAAGTTTCCATTAAGTTTTTCATGTTCACCTGTTAAATATGGAAAATATTATCCTAATAGTGACTTATATGAAAATGTGTATTTGGAACTTCTTAATGTTTTGTGCTATGAAATGATAAAAAGATATGTGTACTAGTGAACTCTTGATTTGATTTTATACAATTGCATGGTGATTGATCTAAATTACTCTCACTTGGTGCTTTTATGTTGTAAATTGCATATATAAAAATTTGTGAGAGTATGTAATAGATGTTTTCTTTTGTATAAATATTTATGCTCAATGCACATACTAATTTTAAAAACGTGCAGTGGATTCTAAGAAAATCTTTTTTCTAAGTTCAAATTAAATGATCTTGGTGAAAGAGGTAATGTCTTAGTCGTTATACTGAAAGAAATAGTGGGAGTTTTGTACTTTCTTACTCATATGATATTAATAAGTTATTAACAAAGTGTCAACTTATGAATATGAATGAAGTTTGTACTCTCATAATTTGATATTTAACATTTGTGTTAAATGTGACAATCCAATTACTAAACTAGAATCTTTAGTGACATTGGATATCTTGTATGTGCATTAGAGTTGTGTTAACACATTCTGTGTGGTATGTGACTCACTGACTACACTAAGAGCCTAAGTAAAGATCATTGTAAATCTAATGATAAAATCATAATGTGACTTTGAAAGACTAAGGATTGTGATTTTCTTAAAACTGATTAGATTTATGTTGTTCTTAAAGGATATTCGAATGCTAGCCGGTATTCTAGCATTAGTGATTATAACCCGTTAGTGGTTAGAAATTCATGCTTGGTAGTGAGAAATTTTTCTTGATAAGTGAAACAAACTGTAATCACTCTCTTCAATATATAAAGGAAAGGAAAATTGAATTTGTTGAACTATCTTTAGTACATAAGGAGGTGAAGTGGCCAAAAGGCCTTGGCCTGTGTCATCTGCAACCTTGTGTTGTGATAGTTAGATTAATATGTTTTGAACATTATGGAGAATTTGACAATGGGTAAATATAGACATATTAATTCAAGATATGTATTCTTAATGAGATACAAGTGTTGATGTTGTTAGTATTGTGTTTGTGAAAATACAATTTTGTTATAGATCCATGTACTAGATCTCTTGCGAGAGAATTGGTGTTTTTTGACAACATAAGGAATGTGATTAAAACCTTCTATCTAAACTTACAAATAATGAAAACCCAACCTTCTTCTAGTAGACCACTAGATTGAAAGGTTCAAAGGGTAAAAACAAGTTGTTTTGTAATTGTGAGGACCAAATCAATGTGCATACCATTTCAAGGTTGGTGCATTATGTTACTCTTAAGTGAGCAGGTTGAGAGCAATCTCTTAATGAAATTATTCATGAGTATTCGGTTATGGTTAAGTAATGAATTTAAATAACTTTCACATATTTGACCATAGAAGTGGTGCCACTTCTAGCAGAGTTGAGGTTATCTCTATTACATGGTTAAGAAACTAGGATGAGCACATGGTCGGTAATAGTGCCAAACAATAATGTAAATTATAAGGAATGTTGTGAGTGTTCGTGTGTGCAAAATCAAGTTTGATATGGTTTTATTGTTGGTTCAAGTAAATAGCCACCAACAAATTAGGTGTATTCGTTACTAATTTTCACTATCGTGTGGTTCAAGACGAAAGTTACCACTCTTTATGCATGACTCTCAATATTTGTGACTGTTTTATATCATAAACTAAGTGGAGAATTGTTGGGTTTTAGTTTGTGATATAAAACAAAAAAACTGAAAAGATGCAATCCAGACTTGGTTCAATCTTCATGAACCAACTAAAAGGTGTCAAGAAATTAAAAGAGTAAGAAACATGACAAGTATTCATGAAAGGTGACGTTGGTGACTTGGAACTCAAGGGCTATAAGCCTTTATTTGTATTCTTTCAATTCCTAGTGTTTGCCTATAAATAGGTGAACTACTACAGGTTTTGAAAAGTCTTTTTACATTCCTAAATTCTTAAAGAATAAGGAATAATTACAAAGTTGCTTGTTGTTGTGCTTCTTCGTATCCTAGAGACAAAATGTAAATCAAACTTGGTTTTGCACAGTAGTGGAGGCAAATATTGTCTTAAGGACAGAGATTACACGCTTAGAACACATCCAACCACTATGGTGTTTCCCCCAATATTGTCTTTGAATATTTCTCCTTAGAAACTCATCTATGCTTTATCTTGTTATTGTCACAGATAGTTCGTATCTTTCAAAAATATGTATTTGAACTCTAATAATAAGTTCTCGAAAAGTTTTCCAATCGCGTTTACTTTGATTGGACAATGTGATGTGCCCTAACTTCACTTGACAAAAGTAAGAGCACAAAATCCCCCCAAAAGTCATTAAATTAAGAACTTAGAGCAATTGGGTTCAACTACAACAATAGTTAAAAACAAAGGAATTTATATACACTTTAATACAATACAAGATAATACGCAGTATCCAAAAAATACTTGATCACACAATTAGGGAAAACCGGAAGAGCAACTACCAGTTTATATCTATCTAACCCAACTTATATATCATAGCCCAATTGTCACTCCTACTGTAGTGTCCTTTATCGTATATATGTGACAAATCTATATATCAATTCCCGTCAAAACTTTTGCTCAATACAATTAGATACAATTGATTTTCGATAATGTATTTTATTCACTCTTTTCTTCCTTAAATAGTAAACTGGAAGACATGTTGGGACGAAATAGCAGCCGCCACTCTCCTTTTTTCTCTCAAATCCCAACTCCAAAAAAAATATTTCGTCAGACATCTTCCCATCATAGGAGGATGGGAACATAAACTTGTTTAATCGTTTTTCGTTTTTGTTCTCTGTTAATAAATGAGTTTATTCTCACAAATTAGTTTTGAAATTCGTCTAGATTATTTAGATAATCTGTTGAGAGGGTAGAGTTTTCTTATTTGCAGTATTTCTTCAGTAGATTGGTCTACGGGAGGTAGGTCTATTTTGCAGTGTTCGTAGAGGTATTGAAGATGTTCGCAATATTATATATGCCCAAAGAAGAATTGGTAATCGCAGATCTAATTTTTAGATATTTGTTTGGAGTTTTCAACAGAATTTTAGTGATATATTCGAATTCAGATTCAAACTCTGGTACGTGATATATCTGTCAATTATGGATAGATCTATATGAGTTTATCCACGGTAAACACAATAAAGTGATACATTGTAAGTTGTGTTTGAGTATTTTTTCGTATTATTCAATCGCAGTGAACGATTTCCAGTAAATAAATGAAAGTACTTAAAATAATAAACCGGAAAAAATAATACAATTCTATATTAGTAGAAGAAAATACAATCTCTACTTTACGTTAACAGTAGAGTAAGCAATATCGTCTCTACTTTACCATACTAATTCATGGGGGAAAATTAGTAGAAGAAAATAACAAAATGGATGAATTTGATTACTTAATTGTAAAACAAAATTAAAAAAAAAAAAACAAATGTCATGATTAATTACGAAGTACATTTGCTAATATACTTGTGCGTTTTATGTTTCTTATCATAACCGCTTCCAACAACAACTAAGCATTCAGCTTGGTTGTGGAATTTAGGGTGCATGAGATCCCATATTACATCATAACTTGACCTTAACTTGATGTGTATTTCTAATGGTAATCCGTTGTCTGAATCAAGCAAATCCTGCATGCTTCTTCCTGCACCATACATTGGTTTATTCCTGGTACCAATTTGCAACCTGAGATATTGAACTCCATCCTCCCCTACTTCAACTTCATTACCCTGAAAAGAGGGGTGGGCTCAGACAAATTTATAAGTTACATGAATAAATCGTACTATTTCCGTCTCACAAAAAATAGTCTACATGATTGTAAACTTTAAATTGTTACATTAAATTTTAATTATTATGGAATTATCAGTTGATTTGTATAAAAAATAAAATCTAAACTAACCCATCATTTTGGAAACAGAAACTACATACAACAAATAACTTAGAAAAAGATTTGCTTACCTGTTCAACTGCAAAAGGCAAATTGCCAAAGGAGATTGCGAGAAGAGGAGGGTGAACGTGAAGCCGAAAGAATTTTGAATTGTTGTCTATCCTTACACCTACTGAACAGTTGCATGTAAGGATTTTGGTTGTCACCCCTGTCGCGTCTATTCCTTCAGTTAATTCGAACTGGGATACTCTCCAAATCTGCAAAAATTTATACAATTCAAAGCTAAGTAAACAATAAGTAAAAACATGTTTCTTGTTGAAAATGAAATAGCTCCAACTAATTACGGATTTGAAAAAGTTTGGCAATAATGTGTTTATATATTTTACTTTTTTTTTTGGGGGGGGGGGGGAACTCCCATGAGATGATAATTTTCGACGATAATTTTTTTTTTTTTAATCGACACAACTTATGCACTTGCAAGACCATGATCACGTATTTTGGTATAATAGAGAATGCCCTAAATATGAGATACGTCATATATATAATATTTCCTCCAATGTTATTTGTGAAACATAAATCTGAAGTAAATCGGATATAGTACTTCCGATGAGAGAACGTTTTCACAAAGACAAGGAGATTAGTAAATGGATGAGTTTTCAAAGGGCTAAAAAAAACAATTTTGAAAGATAGTAATTCTTCCGTTCTTATTTAAGTGTTGTTTTTTTAAAAATTGAGATATCTAAAGTAAGTGTCGATCTTATTTTCCAATAATTTTGTTTTGTAAAAATTTTCTAAAATTGCCATTTGAAGAAAAGGGCATTGATGATTCTAGAGAGTTGTTTATATAATGAGAGACTAGGTTAAGGGTAATTCGAAATTTTCCATTTATATAATGAGAGGTAATTCAGAAATTTATATATATATATATTAATCAAGAATTTCTTAAATTTGTCTAACTATGTTTATTTAGGAATGAAGGATTAACTGATCTATTTATGGCTTATGCTAGAAAACCAAAAAGGAAAAAAAAATAAAAGGACAAATGGGTCTTAGACAAAGAATTATTATACTCTAGCTATCTAGAGTAGTTTGAGTGCCAATGTGCCTATTAAATCTTGGACCAGTCATTAATGTTAACAAATACTTTTTCTTGTTGGCCATTAGGTTGAACTTTCATTATGAGGCGTGATTTCTTAGATCCACTGTTTACATTGATTTAGTGATTTCTTAAAAGAAGGAAAATGTTGAAAGGCAAAAGAAAAAAAAAAGAAAAAAAAAAGAAAAAAGATGGTTTCTAAAAACCCATTTACTTCTCTCTAATTAAACTCTGTTGAATCTTTGATCATTATCTGAATATAAGCCAGATATTCAGCCCAAGCTTGTAGTCTTTCACCATCGTTTTCAACCCGTTGATTAATGGAAGGGACAATTAGGTACATTAGTAGTTTGTGTGGTCATTGTAGTTATAACTGTATCATATTAATTGACGATGTTTTCGTATCTACAGTAGAAAGAAAGTTGTGAGAAAAACAAAAAGATGCTATCGCAACAACAAATAGTTAAAAAAAAAAAGTACAATGTACATATGGTAACCCTCTGGTCTTTAATAAAAATCATTGTAATTTGTTCTAAATTTTACCTAATATTTATTTTTAATTAAAAAATTAAAAATATATATGTTCACATTCGTTGTGTTATTTTGATTATTAAAAAATATTTTTAAAATTTTTTTGCCAATTAAATGTGTACTAAGTAAAACCTAGGACAAATCAAAATGTATTATATTAAAGATCGGAGGGAGTAACAAAATCAAATATTTACTTGTGAGTCAAAATGATTGATATGTTCGTTTAAAAATATCTTATGATTTTAGAGAAAAATTATAAACTGCCAAAGAGATATGCAAGTGAGAGGGAGAATAGGGAAAGATTGCACCTTGATAGAGATGTTAGGAGGTGGTGGCTTGGTAAGCACGTAGAAAACCACAAGCGCAATCACTATGCTCAATACAAACCTCCAACTTATCTGCAAGATCTTCCACCCGCTTGAGCTCGAAGTACTAAAGAAAAATATCCTCCACCACTCATTCCTCCCGAATTCGAAATAATGGCCGTCGTCTTCCTCCTCCTCCTCCACTTTGCGACGATCATCTCCTCCTTTGTAACCGTTTCTACCTTGACGATCATCATCGTGGTCATGACCAACGATGGCATTGTTAATTTCATCGTGATTTATGCCTTCTAAATCGTCATACGGGAAATTTTTCCCATGTAAGATCAATGAGTTCGCGGCGAAATTTTCCGAGATGGACTCCCGGGTGACATTGTTAGGGAATTCGGTGCTGTGACAAATTGTGGATGGACTTTGTACGTAGTAGATTGCATGATAGGATCTGTATAAGGCTTCTTCTTCTGAATCCATTTGGTAGATAGTCATGGCCGGCGGCCGCCTTTAGTGAAAATATCTGAGTGAAAATGATTTTTTTCGTGACAATTTTTGACGAGTTTTCCATGGTTTTTAAACTGGAAAAGGGGGGTTGGGGGGGGGGGGGGGGGGGGGGGGGGGGGGGGAGTGGCCTTTCAGAAATGGAGGCCATGATTATGGGGAGAATTGAGTGCTTATATCGTGGCCTTAGAATACAAGGTTTCCCCCAAAGCCATAAATTTAGGTGAAATGGAGTACTAAACATTCATCTTTGTCGGAAATCTAACATGCAATTTGTGCTCTTTAAGCAAAGAAGAAAGAAAGGAGTATATAACAAACTTAATTAATTAAACTTAATATCTTCTCCATCATTATCGTTTGCAAATTGGAATTTAATTCTCTCTCTTTCAGTGTCCAATTTATTTTAATTGCACATACACGATTTTTATTTTCGGATATTGGTGTGACCTTGTGAGTAATTTATTTGGGGTTTTCTATTTTTTATTTTTTGGCCATTTGTGACATTATCATAGATATATCTACCTTTTTCGCATAAATTATTTATAGGCTGAATCTGTTGCCACGTTAATAATAAAAAAAAAAGGACGAAGAAGAGGTATTTTTAACTGAAATCAATTGATTGGAGAGAATTAGGGTTTTTTTTTTGTATGTAAATCAACAACATATGTGTTGACTTTTTAATGTGATCGATAATTATCATTTATCAGGTATTAATGATTCTCTCAATGTATGTGTTTTTCTCTCCCTCAATTACTATATATATATATATAGAGGTAACACCAGATAAAACTAAAAAAATAACACTCATACTTGGAAACAACAACATTTTCACTGAAGTCAAGAATATCTTCACAAGAAACGTACCAAAGCTTCTCTTGGTCTGATCTCAAAAGTAGTTTAAAATGTTTGCATATGCTAACAAATACAAGTAGGTTACATTACTTTGCTGAAAAATTGAATAAGATAATGAAGGTAAATTGTTAACAGGATTTAAAATATCGTTGGAATAATTTAAAATCGTAAGGCACATGTAATATCTAAATTAGAACAATAATGGTTGAAGTTCCAAACTTCTTCCATCTATATAAGTCATATTTATTATATATTTTAATATTAATCTAACAAGGATGACTTTTGTCCTAATAGTGAGAGAAGTTTTTAATGGCGATTAACAATTATTTACATAACTTACTCGAGCATGTTGTACCAATACTACGTAAAAACATTGTTTGTCATATTTTGTAAAGATCACATGCCATTAGTTTGTTAATTACTCCTGAAATGGCCGAGGAATAATTAGTTCTTGATTATCTTCTAAGCGTGCGTAACAGAGCACATTAAAGAAATATATTCCAACATCTCATTTTAATAATGGCTGCATTTTTTACTCCCTCTATTTCTTAGAAAAATATGCAGTCTACTTTATTAAAATATTTCCTGATTTTAGTAAAGTAAACTATTAAAATTGTATTGTGATTATTTTTCTTTTCTCCTTTAATTTATACTTGGGGCCCATTTCGTGTCTCTGAAGGATTGATTCATGTGCAAGGTATATAAAGGCAATTAGTCATGATTGAAAATAATGTGAAAAGCATCGCAAAATATTCTAAACCTTCGCTTTTATGCCAAGACAGTTGCAAAATATAGCTCTCCCTATCACTACCTTAATAGGTTGGACCCCAAAAAATATATAAAGTCTAAAATATGTTAATCGTCACATTGTGTATATATATGGAAATATTTTACTGAAGTGTTCAACTTTTAATCACCTGATGAAAACTCATTCATAAAAGGTTGAGATATGACTCCATCTGTTTAGATAAATGCAACAACAGTACTACTATACCTACAACACAATTAATTAACACGAAAATTCTGTTGCAAAACAAATTAATTACAAATTTCATGTCTGGTGTGGTTCCTGACATTTCTTTAAAAAACAAAGTTAGCTCGAAAATTTCTTTCTGTGGATGTCTCCAAGATTCTCCATATTTTCACGATTTTTTCCTTCGACATGGCATATTATCCGTGTTCAAATGAATCAAAGATATTTGATTCCTTTTCTCATGTGTTGTTTAGAGTTCGGTGCAGAGAGATCGAGTCACAGACACAAGTAATTTTCTTATGTTGTTTTCGCATGGAGCTATGCTAATTAGGTCTCTTTTAGGATAGATATATACTTCTCGGTCTTGAAGTAATTGTTCCATTTAAATTTTCACTTTAATATAATTTCTATTCAAAATGAAAATTTGAAACTAGACAATCATTCTAAGATGCATGTAACTGTTTCGATGGTTTGGCTTCTCTTGAATTAAGGATTCTTCCATATCGTTTGTATTAGTTTAGAATTTTCATAGAACAGGACAAAAAGATTAAAAAAAAAAAACTTTCCAGTTTATATTCAAGCCCGAAACACTTTCTTTTATGAAGGTATTCCTTCATCGCTTAACTGATTTGTTTAAGAATGATGTTAATGTGTTAAGAGTAAGAAATCTTTCATTGAGAATTCTTGGACCATCAAAGAAGTAAATATTCTCAGTAAGCTGGCTTCCGCCTTAGCCTAGAGGTTATATTTTAAATACGGATTAATCCGTTCTTAATGCTTCTGGGTGGGGTTTGCCATTTGTGGTGAAGTAATGTTCATTTTTGCAGAATATTGTCAATTCATTGAAAAGTACGATTGTTTGGCATCGGAAATTGGGGGAATTTTATCTGGCTTTACACATAGAGAATGCACATAGTTCAGTAGATATTTTTTTAAGCGGAACTAATTTTTGAAAGAAAAATGATATATATAATGAATAAAAATAGTGACAAAACATAGTGACTGTTGTGGACTAATCACGATTCCTAATTTTTTGCTACTTTTCTGTTGAAGTTTTATTTTTTTTAAAAATTATATTTTTACCCTTGATTAATAACTTATACATGTTTAGTAAATGTGTGGTGTATTTGTATTTTCATTTGCCACTATCCAAATTTACTATAATTTTTCACTATATGTATCATTGCTCTTTTTGAAAGTGTCCCGAAAAAGAATGTCCCTATTAAATTGCAATAAGGAGAGAATCACATCTTGTGTAATGTACAACAAAAGTGTTACCGAAAACTGTATCCTACTTTGGTTCTTAAGCCCTTCATGTTTGTAACTCCAATGAGATAGATACATCACTATTTTAAGAATTATTATTTTGTGAATCGACCTCCAAAAAAAAAGCTACAATAAATATAATGAATTAAACTTGTTTTAATAAATTAAAACTCTAATATTAAATGAGTAATCAAAAATTTAAAATTGAAAGAGAGCCTTGCTTAACATTTATTTTGAGTCAAATTAACTTTATTTTTAAGATCTTCTGATAGTATGTAATATGTTGATTTGCAACGTGAGAGAACAACAGTCGCTTTGGCCGAGTGGTTAAGGCGTGTGCCTGCTAAGTACATGGGGTTTCCCCGCGAGAGTTCGAATCTCTCAGGCGACGTGACACTGGTTATTTTTTTTTTTTTTTTTTATTTTGGGATTATTTGGTTTTTTTAGGAATGCAGTGTAATAACTCAATCGCAAAAGATATACTTTTAAATGAGTGCCAAAAAAAAAAAAAAAAAAAAATTTACAGCCAAAACCTCCCTTTGCCCTCAAATTCTCTCCCCTTGCATTATCAATCGGCTCCCTCCTTTTTCCCCCTTAACATTGCGAATTCCACGAGGTGACTGACTCAGATAATTCTCCGTTCATAAATCATCTAAATTGGCCACATTTAGTTCACGTATATATTAGTTAAGCTCTCGCTCTGTTAAAAAAATCGAAGAAGCTGTTTATTTTCATTCTAAAAATTTCTCATTTCATTCTGAAATCATTTTTCTATTAATCATTTTACAATAATTGAAAAAAACACAATCACCTTAGAACAATGATAATTATAAGGGAAATGACAAGTTCATAGTTATAAAGTATAAACACACAATGAAAGAAAAAATAGTGTCTCGTGTATATTATTATGAACTCTCTACTTGGTTGATATTTTTCTTTTAAAATTTTATATTTTGGAAAAACACTTTTACTCGATTATTGTGCACACAATAATTACTACTCCATCCGTCCCATAATTATTGTCCGGTTTGAGTTTTCATTTTTAGTTCAAATTGTACTAAAAGTGAAATCTCAAACTGGACAATAATTTTGGGACAGAGGGAGTATGAGTTTTCACTATATATTATTGTGTAGACAACACTCACTATAGATTCTCACTCTCTATTTCTTTTCTGGTGGCTCTGTAATTATAATAAGAGAAAAAAAAAAAAAAACCATCTACAGTCTACACAACTATACCTCTTTAAATATCACAATGGGTTTTAGACACTACCGGTGTAAACTGAGAAAGATAACATTTGGACACTGTTGTTTTTCCTTTCTCTTCGTAAAAGGGTCATCTCGAAAATCACGGTGAATTTTGTATCATTGTATCGTTGCATGTCTTGTTCAAAACATCCAAATACAAAAAAAGAAATCGACAGGATGAGGGGAGCCTAGTACTATCCGAACCACCCTTTTCACAAAATTCAGGTAAATACTAGTATCTATTACCAAAAAAATTAATAAAAGAATTCAGGTAAATATCATTTTCCCACACTCCTAACTCTATTATCCACCATCAGACAACCTGGCCTGCCGAGCTTGAATGTGGCCTCAACTCTACCTTGTTCTGCTCACCACATTTTTGCAATAAGCCAAACACGTTCAACAATGACATATTACTTGTATATATAAATATATGTTTTACGACAATTTCACATACACACACACACACGACGGGGCAAAGGACAATCTAAACATGAAGGGTTCATTCTCACATGATGTCAAAGTGAAAGTTCCGGCAGCCGAAGCATGGAAAGTTTACGGCACGCTTCGACTGTCGGAAGTAGTACGGCAACGGCTACCGAACGTCCTGTCCCGGCTCGACGTGTTGGAAGGAGACGGCGGTCCGGGAACCAAGATGCATCTCGTATATCCACCCGGAAACCCGCTAGGTTCGTTGAAAGAAGAATTCCTGGTTGTGGACGATCAAACCATGACGAAAATAACGCAAGTGTACGAAGGCGGATACCTAAACTTCGGGATCACGCTCTACCGGGTCACCTTTCGGGTCGTCCCGGATCCCGAGGACGATCGTGGTTGCACCGTCAAGTGCACTCTTGACTATGAGATCCGGGAGGACTCCATGGCCAATGCGGGTTTCGTCTCCATCAAGGCTCTTTCCTATGTTATGGATGCTGCTAATGATTACCTTCTCAGCTCTAGTGGAGTTACTAATTAATTAACTGATCATTGTTCGTGAGAGGGTTCAAGAGTTGGGGAATAATGTTTGTTCATTTTTATTTTTATTTTTTTAAATAAAATGAAATTTAACGTCAAAAATTAGACTATGAAGTGTACCGAAAATAACTTCAACTCTTGAACTCTCATTTGTAAAGAGAGTAAAGTACATCAATTCAAGAGGAATTTATAATAATTAATATAAATTTTCAGCTTTTGACTTCTCGACTTCAAGAGTACATCCATTTTCTTTTCTTTTTGGATTCTGTAGAGCGGAAAATAAGTTTTTCACTTTTATGTCATTGGTGAATTTCTTTGAGAGGTGAATGTCACAAACCCCCTTATTCCTTGGTGAATTCTTACACTAGCGATTTACAATCAAGAAGAAAAGGATTTGAAAATTAGACTTAATGCGGAAGCCATTAATGAGTGAAATCTTGGTATGAAAATACACTATATTAATGAGTAATCTCGATAATAGTTATTTTATACAATGATTAGCTTATATACTAATTACAACCGACCTAATATGATGTAAATGTACAACTATACCCAGTAGTATTTACATAATTACCAAGCTACTTTGATTATCTACAAAGTGCCCCTTCAATCCTGTAAATTATGTACACTATATACATTTCTACAGCCCCCCTCAAGTTGGTGTTTGGTGAAGATCAATCAAACCCAACTTGGCAAGGAAACCATGGAACTGAGGAGTAGCTAATGACTTAGTGAAGCAGTCAGCAAGCTGATTCACAGTAGAAACATGACGTAGCTGAAGGTAGCCAGTTTTGTAATGATCAAGAACGATGTGGCAATCTATTTCGAGATGTTTGGTGCGTTCGTGAAACATTGGATTCTCAGTAATGTGTTGTGTAGCTTGATTATCACAGTGAAGTGGAATAGGCAGAGAGGTTTGAACATAAAGATCTTGAAGAAAGTAGGAAATCCACTTGAGTTCACGAGCTGTATTGCCAAGGCTTTGATATTATGCTTCATCAGAAGAAACAGACACAGTCTCTTGTTTCTTGGTTTTCCAAGAGACAAGACATCCTTCGAGGAAGATACAGAACCCTGATAAAGACTGTCTAATAATCTTGCAGGTGGCCCAATCTGAATCACCATAGGCTACCAAGTTCAAGCTGGTGGGTGAAGGATAATGAATGCCTTTGGATGGACAACCTTTCAAGTACCTCGAGACATGGATCAAGGCATCCTAGTGTGCTTCACGTGGTGCCTGTGTATGTTGAGTTAGTTGTTGAACAGCATAGGTCAAGTCTGGCCTAGTAAATCCAAGATAAAGCAGCTGACCATCAAGAGTATGATAAGCAGAAGAATTAGGAAGCAATGAACCACAATGATCATCATCTGGAAAGGAATGGCCTTTAGGAAGAGGTGTAGCATGTGGTTTACAACCTGTAAGACCTGTTCTTTGGAGAATATCCATCACATATTTTCTCTGGTTGAGATAAAAAAACCATCCTTGCTACGAGCTATTTCAATGCCCAAGAAGTATCTAGCTGGACCGAAGTCCTTTATAGTGAAGGCCTGATGCAGAAAATTTTTCACTGCTAGGATTGCATCTTCTGAGGAACTGGAGATCAGTACATCATCTACATACACTAGGAGAGCCAAGAAATGTCCTTGATGAACCATTGTAAAAAAACATGGATCACTGTGGGACTGATGTAAGCCAAACATCTTTAACTTGGCAGCAAATTCAAGATGCTACTGCCTAGATGCCTGTTTTAGGCCATAGAGAGATCTAATCAGTTTACAAACTTGGCCAGGCTGACCTTTGGTATATCCTTCTGGTAGTTTCATGCAAACATCTTCAGTCAAGTACCCATGCAAGAATGCATTTTTAATATCTATCTGATGAAGATGCCAATCCTGAGTAGAAACTACTGCAAGAAAAACTCTAACAGTTACCATTTTGGCCACTGGTGAAAAACTGTCCATGTAGTCTATGCCTTCTATTTGATTATAGTCCTTTGCCACCAAAAGAGCTTTGTACCTTTCTATTGAGCCATCTGGTTTGTATTTGGTTTTGTAGACCCATTTACAACCAATGGCTTTCTTCCCAACAGGCAGACTAGTCAATTTCCAAGTGTTATTGCTCTCCAAAGCTTCAAGTTCAGTATGCATTGCCTCCACCCATTCTGGTTGAGATTTAGCCTACACATAATTAATAGGATCTGGTGCATGGCTTATGTTAGCAAGAAAAGCTAAATACTCAGACCTAAAACAAGGGTTATGTGTGTAAGGATGTGTATTTGGAGTATAAGAAGAGGAAGATGGTGGTTGAATGAAACAAGTATTTGTTGTCTGTGATTTTTTTGGAAGATCAACATAGTAATCCTGAGGCTTTGTAGGAAGGTGTTTTTCTCTATTGCTCCTTCTAACAGTAATGCGTAGAGGAGATCCATGATCTGAATCACTATGGTGATCTGAGGAGGTGGGTTCAGGATTATCATGAATATCATAATGATCATATGTAACAGGGATTTCTGAAAATGGAGGTGATTGAGATTGAGATGGTGAGATAGAAGGAAAGAATGAAGAAGCTGAGAAGTAGTAGTATCATCATATATGTGAGGATCCATCAGATCACGAATGAAAGAAGAATCTGGATTAGAAGAAACAGGTAATCTATCCTTATAAGGAAAAACTTGTTCATGGAAAACTACATCTCTGGAAGTAAAAACTTTCTTGGTTTTTAGATCATATAGTTTGTAGGCCTTTTGGCCAGGAGGATATCCCAAGAAAATGGCTTTTACAGCTCTTTCATCTAACTTTTCCTTTCTAGGAAGATTATTTGTAGCAAAGCACAAACTACCAAAGGTTTTCAAATGTCTAAGATCAGGTGGTTTCTTATATAGTAGCTCAAAAGGTGTTTTCTAATGGAGCACAAAGGAAGGTAATCTGTTTATCAAATAAGTAGCAGTTAAAACTGTTTCTCCCCAAAAATGTTTTGGCAAAGCTGACTGAAAAAGTAAAGAACGGGCTACTTGCAGCAAATGCTGATATTTCCTCTCAACAATCCCATTTTGTTGAGGGGTGTAAACGCAAGATCTTTGGTGTATTATACCTAAGGAAGAGAAAAGAGATTGACATGATACACTCATAAACTCTGTCCCATTATCTGATCTCACCCCCCTTGATGGTGGTTTGAAATCCACCATCTTAAAAAAGGTTTCAAGAAGATGTATTGTTTGAGATTTGTTGTGCATAAAAAATGTCCAGGTGGTTCTACTATGATCATCCACTATTGTAAGAAAATAGTGTGATTCTGAAAAAGTAGGTTGTTTATAGAGTCCCCAAATTTCTAAGAGAATAAGATCAAAGATTTTAGATGTTCTAGAATGACTAACAGGAAATGATAAGCGATGCTGTTTAGATATAGGACAAACAGTACACAAGTAATCATTATTAAATGAATTCTGCAAAGCAAGAATTTGAGTCATTACAGTATGAGATGGATGGCCCAATCTATTATGCCATAGTCTATGTTGACCCTGGATCACAGAATGTGCCTGTTAAGAGCTACTATATTATGGAACAAAAAAATACTTTGGATTTACAGAGAATTGTATGAAGGGCATGATATATTTCTGGCTAAAAGATTCCTGATCTATTACATATAATCCATTAACAAGCTTGCCAACAGCTATCACCTCTTTACTCCCTTGGTCCTGCAAAATGCAAAATTCAGTGGAGAAAAGACTATCAATTCTTGCTGTTTTGGCTAACTTGCTAACAGATATAAGATTGAATTTAAAATCAGGAATATGAAGGCACCCTGTGAGTTTCAAGGATTTAGAAAGTATAATATCTCCTGTATGTTTGACATATTTTACACTTCTATCTGGCAAATAAACAGGTGTAGGTTTAGATATAGCATTAAAGGAATTAAAAATGTCTAATTCATGAGTCATAAAACCTGTAGCACCAGAATCCAAAAACCATGTACTAGGATCAACCTTATCAACAGTAGCAAGTATGTGATCATAATTCCTACCTGCAAATTCAGAGTAGTGAGCAAAGTTAACCAATTCTCCCCCCATGGCTATTCTGATTTCCCTTGCCTGTAGTTAATCTGTTCATCTCTTGTTGAAGATAGTTGAGACCATTCATGATTGCTTGCAAGTTTTCAGGTCCAATAGTCATCATACTGCCAACAGGTGCTTGTGATCCACTTACATTACTGCCATTGAAAGGAACAAAGTCCATTGGAGTTTCAGTCATGTGTGCCATGTTCCTGTTTCCTGCTGGCTTCTTGAATCCTTTGTTGTTGTTAGGAACTCTCCACCAATCTGGACATCCATGTATACGGAAACAAGTATCCTTAGAATGATTTGATTTCTTGCACAGATCACACCATAATCCTCGTTTGTCACCTCTTTTCTTGGAATTATCCTTTTGAGTAAACATGGCAAGATTCTGAGTATTCTGACCATTTAACAAGGTAGACTGAACCATTAGAGTTGGTTTGATCATTGCTGTTGAGATTGAACCATTTGCAATCATTGCACTTTGATCAGAAGCATTTGTGTATATCATCTGCACATTTCTTTGCTTCTCAATGTCTATCACCATTCCATATGCCACTCTTACATCAGGCAATGGTCTCATTACTGAAATCTGGTTCTTAATAGCCTCATAAACACCATTCAATCCCATTAAGAACTGCATCATCTTATCTCGTTCCAACTTCAGAGTATATAATCTGTCAATCTTGCAAGTACAACCAGAACAATGACAAGTGTTCTGTGGATCAAGGTGTGCCAATTCGTCACAATATCTCTTCAATTTTGTGAAATACATAGCAAGAGGCATGGCTCCTTGTGAAATTGAGCTTATCTCTCACTTAAGCTGATAAATCCTTGAAGCATTAATTCCACCAAACGTCTGTTCTAAATCACACCATAAATCTCTGGAATTATCAGCCAAGATATATCCTTCTTGCACATCATCAGACAAGGAATTGAGGATCCACGCCACCACTGTGTTATTAACGCGTGTCCATGGAGCGAATTCCATGCTTGATTCAGAAGGTCGGGGATAATCTCCATTGATAAACCCTAGCTTGTTCTTTGTCCCCAAATTCATGCGCATCGCATGAATCCAGGCAATGTAATTCTCCTCGGTGAGCTTGATTCCCACAATTGACATGCTAGAATGATCAGAGGCATGGAGAGTAAGTGGATGAGAATAGATACCAAAATTCGCATAGTCTTCATCCCTGCGATCTCGTCCATAATCTTCATCCCTGCGATCTCATCCATAATCTTCATCTCTCCGATCTCGTCCATCATCGGAATTGTTCCGCTGGACTTTTTTTCGATCACGGTTAACTTCTTCATTATCGTGATTTTCTATTGTAAAGAAAGAAAACTCAAAACTTCAAGATTCTAGTAGGGTTTTGATCGGAATTTGATGATTTAAACGATGGCGATGAGTAATCAGGCAGGACGGACCTACTCTGATACCATTAAGAAGAAAAGGATCTGAAAATTAGGGTTAATACGGAAGCCATTAATGAGTATAATCTTGGTCCGAAAATATATTATATTAATGAGTAATCTCGATAATATTTATTCTGTACAATGATTAACTTATATACTAATTACAACCAACCTAATATGCTGTAATATCCTGCAGTACAACTTTGATTATATACAAAGTGCCCCTTCAATCATTAAATCTATGTACACTATATACATTTCTACAAATCCAGTTTTTGAGGTGTTCTAAATCTAATTTTTCTTACGGATGTGTTTATTGGCTTTCATTTTTTTCAGTAAATGGTAAAAATTACATTGTTGGGTTTAGATTTTATTGGTTGGGTTTAGATTTATCTTATGGATGTGTTTATTGGCTTCTCTTTTTCTTAGTAAATGGTAAAAATTAGGTTGCATGACAAATAAATCATCCGTCTACTTTATTATTAGATTATATTAGTTGGGTTTTCTGTTGCCAAATGTTATAAAAGCTTGTCGAGTATCTTGTCATCAACAAAATCTTCATGATTTTTTGTTTTTCTTTTTAATTCTTTTTTTTTTTTGTTCAATTTACCTCAATTAGTTAGTTTGTTTAATTATTTATTTTATTTATAATTTTTATGGTGACCATCTTCATAATGACTATTTCGCTCATTAAGTTATAGTTGAGAATTTGATAGAATGTCTACCGCTAATAATAATAGTAACTCAGTGACTAATTGATTTGTTATAATTTATAAGTAACCCTTTGAGTGGGACAGATGGCCAAATGATATAATATTGCTCTATAACGGAGCTATGATTAAAGATGAAGGAGCTTTCACTCTATTACACTGCTTTTGTTAAGACTATTTACTGGAAAAAAGAAAATTGCATTTCGTAAATGTACCAAGTTCTGCAGTAGTGTGCAAACGGGCCATAGTCGCATTCTTGTGGAATGAATCAAACATGGTCCTGATTCCTGAAGAAACGCTAGCTTTCATAGCCCATTTTGTGTTACTAAATCCAACCAAACTAGATATTGTACAATACAAAGCAGCAATCATATTGGGAACCAAATATAGCCCAACAGTCTGAAATTAAACAAAGGCACCCCCTTGGAAAACTTTCGGACGGCTGGCCGGATATAGAATAACACAAAATCAAAGCTTACCTCTTCCAAACAATCAAAAGTTAAAAACGAATCTGATAATGGGCAGTACGTATGTAGTATGCCAAAAAAGAAAAATTCTCTCTCTCAAAATAATTGTCCAGTTTGAGATTTCACTTTTAATATAATTTTAACTAAAAATGAAAACCCAAACTAGATAATAATTTTAAGATGGAGGGAGTAAAAAATAAATAAATTACAGACCTCCAGGATAGAAGTTCATGAAGTAGAAGAGAATATAACATATATTTTCATTTTTTTCCCCTCCAATAAACGGATTACAATAACCTACCAATCACGATAAATATTGTTTACTTACGTTACAATAGTAGCATCTAGATAAAAGGCAAAAAAAGAAAAAAAAAAAAGAAAAAAGGTTTGTATACATTGTGTAATGTTTTATTATGAATATCTCTACTCGATTTGCACCGATCAATTGGCAACGGGGCCGTTGAGAAGGTAATCAGTGGCAGCATTCATAATGTGGACAAAAGGCTCGATGGTGACTAAACCCTCATTCCCAGCCGCTTCTTCTCCCATCTCATAGTCAAGCACGGTCTTAACGGTGCAACAATTTCCGTCGTCGGGATCCGGGACGATCCGAAAAGTAACCTGATAAAGCGTAAACCCCAGGTTCAGAAACCCGCCTTCGTAAACCTGAGCAACTTTGGTCATTGTCTGATCATCCACCACCAGGAAATGTTCCCTCGAGTACGAAACAAGCGGGTTTCCCGGCGGGAGGACGAGGTGGAGTTTGGTTCCCGGACCTCCGTCTCCTTCCAAGACATCGATCCGGGCCAAAACGTTTGGTAGCCGTTGCCGGACTACCTCCGCCAGTTGAAGCGTGCCGTAAACTTTCCAGGCTTCGGCCGCCGGAACCTTCACTTGGACTTCGTGTGATAAGGAACCCTTCATTTTCTTCGGTCCCGGAGGAGCACTTTTAATTCCTTGTTCAATCACTCGTATGTGTTTGTAGGTTTTTATATACGTAATTTGATTTTGACAAGTAGTTTGTTACCGCTATATTATTTTTTTTATTTTTTTTTTCTATTTTAGAAAAATAATCTACATCATATTATTTGTAGTTTGTATTAAAATCGACTTTTTTTTTATGAAACATATTATTTTTTCTGTTCAAATAAAATAATACAAATTAAATTATGTTACTAAATAGTGTGTCGTGAGCATGGCCGGCCATGGTAAGTAAGAGGCCAAAGACCAAGCAAGGCCGGCAACAAGTAGGCTACTAAACAAGAAATGCTGAAAAAGAATCTGTTTTTGTAGTGTTGTGTTTGGAGATGGTGTGGTATATGATCGCTCGTGTTTATAAAAACGTTTTTGACTTTGGTACACACGAAAATTAGAAATGAAGCCAAAAACATAAACCCACCTTTGTCCCAACTACCAACGAATTAGCGGCTTTAAGAGATTCCAATTGCGGGTGATGCTTCGATTATATTCCCTCCGGTCATTATTATAACACATTTTAATTTTGTCCTACGTTTTATTTATAATATCTTTTTAATTTAAATAAAAATTTAAAAATATATTCTCACATTCATCATATTTTTTTAAACATTATGAAATATTTTTAAAATTTTTATTTTGATTAAAAAAAATATTTTAGATGAAACATAAGACGAAATCAAAATATTTTATAATTGGGACTGGAGGGAGCATATGCGACGATATCTCAGTTTAGAATCCATCGGATCTCTCCATGATTCTTATTGGAAAGTGTGGTTCGTTTGATTTGATGGTTCCTTTTTTTTTTTTTTTTTTTGGTTTCAATATTACATCTTACCGAATATGTGTCCGAAATTTTTGTCCCACTAATATAGATTTATAAAAAAAAATTACTAAATCTTTTTTGAGGGACAAAACTCTTTAAAACATGTTTGAAATTTTTGACCCACAAATATAGATTTATAAATAAATTACTAAATCTTTTTTGAGGGACAAAATTCTTTAAAACATTTTTAAATATCAAAGTGCTCATTTTTCTGTGACGATAAGTGGCGGAACTTATTAAACGAAAAGAAAATTGCATTCTTTTTTTATAATAGGAGGCAAAATGTCTATAACATCAAACATCAAACTAAAAAAAAATGTCTATAACATCAAATAGTAGATCATGATGATGGATCAAATAGACATAATAATCTATTGAAACTAACCACATCTAAGGAAACTAAAGAAACTCACCCGTCTCTTCACGATAAAACTCAAACAAAACAACATATACTCCCTCTGTCCCAAAATTATTGTCCAGTTTGAGATTTTACTTTTAGTACAATTTGAACTAAAAATGAAAACTCAAACTGGACAATAATTATGGGACGGACGGAGTATATACCAACTACTGTATTTTTTGTCTTTTATATATCTTGTAGTGTGTGTGAATGCCAACATCAAAGAGTACTCGAAACCTGAGTACCTAGAACCATCTCTTCATCCATTGTTCTAACACCATCGTTGTGGGCAAGATCAATTGAATCTGGCCCACTAATGTTATTATCAATCGAGAGTGGACTGTTAAAAACGTAGACAGCTTGATGTTTCGAAGGATCCAACCCAGTAGCCACTGGGACAACCCTACAAAAGGACTGGACTAGGCTAGTTTGTGTTTCCTTCGAGCACTTTTTTTTTTTTTTTTTGGTGGGATCAACTTCGAGCAAGGACTAAGTACTATGACTAGACTGAGCCTTAGAAATGCAATGGACTTCGGAAGAAAAATGCATATTCTTCTTAGAGAAAACAACTATTTAGTATTTTAGTGGAAAAATTTGTTATATGTCTACAATTTTCAAGTTATACATTCCACTAAGTACAATTTCAAATTCTGGAAGCAGTTATCATTTCTTATATGAATTTTCTTTAGAAAAAAAAAGTTTATATCGAGTTTTAATATTTGTATTATCTTTAAGTAATACTTTCAAAAGTCAACATGATTTTTTTTTTTTTTGGACAGTGGAGATAACATTCAGCTAAAATTACTCTTTTTATAGTTAACCCATCCTACATATGTGCTTCACACATTACTTCTTCTTCTGCTCTCCAATACAAAACCAAATAATAATTCTGTTCCTGATAAATAGTTCATATTAAGTTTTGAAATTTATACTATTTTTGCAGATTTTTTTTTAAGGAGTACAATTTTCACCACCGTCTTCAAAGAAGAGTTGGTGTTTTTTGCTTTCCAGTGTTGTTGTAGATCCAATTGTGGGAGTTCGAAGCTGATTGGCCTGAGGTCCATGAATCTTGTAATTAAGTTACATGGAGTACTTTGTTGTTGGTTTTCAAATAACACTACATGAGCTAATTCTATGTTTCATTACGGTAAGTTTGTCAATGTTTCACTTTCGGGGAAACATGGGTTTTCCATAACTTTCTCCAAGTTGATATTGATGCAGAATAGTCAGTCAAAGCAGATTATGGAGTTTTTTTTTTTTTTTTTTTTGTTTTTTTGGCTACGAAGGCTTTCGAAAACAATAAAATGAAATAATCTAGTATATTGCCATGTGTGCTGACTTTAATGTTCCATAGTTTTTTTTTTTTTTTTTTTTTTTTACTGAGGTTGTACTGTAGGAGATTAAACATTCAAACAAGTCTTGAAATTCCCTCGCCCTATATATACTTTCAAATGTTTAATTAGAGAATTCCAGAACTTAGTGCAAAGATAAGAGATTTTGATCGTATATTTGAAAGTATTATTGTTCTTTCTTTGAGAATGGAGCCTATCACTTTTACTCTAAAACAGAATACAGGATGTTGATATGGCAATTTCTTATTAAAAATTTTTGGCTCCAAATGTATCATATTGCATTAACCATTCTGCCACGTGTCATCTCTTTTTAAAAGAAAAAAAAATTCTTATTCGGAGAAACAAAAGCTACTTTACAAAAATAGCTACATAATTTTAACTCATAACATTTATCATTTATCAATCAAATTAAAATAGCATTTAAATTTGCCCATAAACTTATCCCCTTTATTACTCCACATTCTTTTGCATGATTTCTATATCGTTGCACTTTTCAATATTTTTTTCCCTTTGGCAGATTTTTTTTTATTTTTATTTTTATTTTTGATTAAAAAAAGGGAACAAAACCAAATGTGTAGCTATTTTATCTTTTCCAAATCAAGAATTCATTTATCTATTAACACAAAATTAAAATAGAGGAGCACCCAAACATCTGCCCGGGCCAAGCATCTAGTTAGGGCTGTCAGTTAATCGGGGTGAACCCGAAAACCCGCCCACACCGAATCCGATTCGGGTGAAACGGGTCAATTATTCGGGTAATTTGGAGAATTGCGGGTTTACCCGATTAACCGCATTGTTAATTCGGTGCGGGTGCAGACCGAATAAAATTATTTCGGGCACCGCCCGAAAACTCGAACTATTCATTTTTTTAATATATTATATTATATATGTAAACAAATAGATAAATTATTACTAACCCTAAAAAATTCTCTAATTCCACTTCTCACCTCATCATATATTTCTTCTTTCTTCGTACTTGGTAGCTAGCCACCCTGCCGACGCCACTCACGCTCAATTCCACAATCCATCAATCCCTTCATCTCCATTCTCTATTCACCATCTCCAATTCTTGATCTTTTCCCTGCCTTCATCACTCGCCCAAAAAGGACTGCGGTTAGAATTAACCCCGTAATCAGGCTCTTTTCTAGTGTAATTTGCTGCCGCCTGTCAGCGCCGGAGTTGAGACCAGAAGAAAAGGAGAGGAGAAACGATGCCGTGAAAATGAAGAAGAAAGTAGAGGAGGAAGAGCAAATCAGAGTCCAAAGGTTGACGGGGTCCTTCACTCTCTCGATCTCACTCCTCTTTGAATCTGAATTTTTGGAGGTTGAAGAATCTTGGAATTGTTGGATTTGTTTGTGGGCTTTCTGAAATTGTTTTTTAATTTTCATATATGAATTTTTGGATTTTTGAATCTCAGATTCAATTTGTCGTGCTTTCTTGTTGAATCAACATGGATGTTTGTGTGAATCTGGGAGGGATGAATGTTGAATGTGGTGGATTTTGACTCCTTTATGGATTCAAAAATGAAAAGGTGTAGGTGTGTGGTTAAATTCGGTTATCTGAAAAACCAAACCGATTAACCCGAACTCTTAATCGGACGGTGCGGTTCGGTAGAGTATGTTTTGCGGTTCGGTTTCGGACGGGTATTGTGAGAGAAAAAAATCAATTAACTTGAACCGAACTCACCCGAACTGCCCGAATCCGTCCGATCTGACAGCCCTATATCTAGTTGTTCTTATAATTAAATCCCTCCATCCCAGAATCCAGTTAGTTAAACTATTTTAGTACAACAGTCAGGAGTTCATTGGGGGAGTACATAACTATTATGGATGATGGGGTTTAATATTGAGCTCTAAATATTTGAACTATAATTTTAATGTAAATATGCTTAATTATCCTACTATTGGTCATCTCTTAGAACGTCAGTTTCATTTTCAGCAGGAAAAACCGGAACCCAAAAAAAATATATAAAAAAAAGAAAAACATATTGACCATATTGAGCGGAATTTGGAACTCCATTTCTATTTTAATTTGGAAATTTTCAAGGTATATCTCGCTAACTACAACTTCAAATTATGTACGTAATTATTCTTTCTAATTAACATGAAATAAAATCCAGCTCAAATCATCTCTTGCTCTTTTTGTTTTAACTCATGATCCTCCAAAAAAAATTTGTTCCATTTGTTGGTTTACATGTTATTTCTTCTCAGCTGTACAATACCAAAACTAAATACAAATTTCACCAACTTCTTTCTCTATTTCTCCTCAAAGATTTACTATTCACACTTCTTGAAAGAAAGGTTGTGCCTGAGTGAACTCTAGATTCTCCCTGCAAAATGTATAATTGAGCCTCATTCCTGTTGTGCATTTAAAGTCCTCTAAACCTGTGCTTCCTCAATAGGAAATTATTTTGTGCATTCTAAAAAAATGGAAGGATTATTTTTTAGTTGAAGACATTGGCAAAAATAAGAGCTTGAAGTATAAAATGGAAAAAAAGAAAAGATATAAGAAATTTGAAGGAAATGAAAGTGGTAATTTTAGGGTTTTTTTTTTTGGAAGGTCATGCTATTTGGGAATCAAGGTAAGGTATAGAAGGGACATTTGCCAACAAACCTTCCCAATCCAATTCTCCCATATTTCTCAAGCTTTCTCCATTCCAATGGTTATTCCCATTAATCTCCACAAATTCATCTGCTCTCACACTTTGAGAACACTTCATCATGTTGTTGTTGTGGTTGCTATAAGCCACCGCCACACAGTCTTTTGAGACATTAATACTATTGTTTTCCAATTGCACCTTACCCTCCAATGCAGGTAGATAAAGGTCATTCTCAAAACCCGCCGGATAAGGTTCCACGGCGCCGTCATAATCTCCGACTAGTCCTCCTCCTCCCCGGCAACCACCACCACCACCAAGCATACCAACTTGGGCTGCCGGTAGATCAAATAGACCCCCGGTCGCCACGACACCCGTGGCATTAATGTTATCCATAATATTGTAGGTGTTTTCATGATGATGATGATGAATTGTGGGAAAAGGGTTGAAATGGTTGAAAATGGCGGCTTGTTGGATTGATGGTGATGATGAAGAAGTGGTAGTAGTAGTTGTGGAATCCATGCAAATGGAGAATACGTCTTGTTCCTGCATGGGGTGAGGCATAAACCCTAACCCTACTCCTCCTCCCATGATTTGATTAATATTTCTTGGTTCGAAAGAGTCACTTGTGTTTGGTGATGATGTTGAAGTAGGAGTCATATTGTTGTTATTCTTGAGCCTCTTCTTAATTGTGGAATTCCAAAAGTTCTTGATCTCGTTGTCTGTCCTCCCTGGTAGACGTGCCGCTATTTGTGACCATCTGCAAAATTGATGAGAATTATAAGAATTAGTTATTCTTTATTTCATATTTAAAAAAATGGCTAATTTTAACTTGGATGTATGCGTTGAATTTAGGCGGAAAAGATTAAGGTTTGAAGAAAGGAGATACAACCACGAACAGGTAAAAATTTATATTGATTCGTTGGAGAAAATATTAATGATCTCGTAAAATACAATTTTAAAGCTAATTAGTTATGGGGAGAAAAAAAAAATCGCCCCAAAAAAGAAAAGAAAAATAAAAGGAAAAACCCAACAGCAACTCTTCATTAGGAGGAGATAGGAGTAAGTTGCAAGTTATATATCTTATAATTATTTATTAAAAACCATAAATTTCAAACATAAAGAAAAAAAAAAAAAAAAACCTACTACCTCCTTGAAAGATCGAATATACAATTATTATTCAGTAGAAAATTATAAAGTAACACTACTTAAAGCAATATTTATACGGTTATCGGCTAATTATGGGACGATCATGCCAGTAGTTGTTCTAAATCATTCTGTATTTTACGTTGTTCATTTACCTTGATAAACCTAGATGACTTACCCCTAAATCTATTTGGAGAAGTAAACTCTAAATATGAAATATAGTAATATTTTACCAACTCTATTGCACTAATACTATACATGTGTACTCGCCACTGTGATTCGAATTTCAGTGCTTTTGGAAGATACTCTGATGATCGTACAGATTTTGTATTATACCTGATTTATTTTTATAATTATGTTTTGGTTTTTTTTTTTTTCAATTTGGAGATTAGAGAAATGAAGGTGTTTCTGGGAGTAAGATGTTGCATGGGTAATTCTAATAAACCTCAGGCAGAATTGCATAATAATTAAACAAAAAAATGCTAGCTGCCAATTATTTTTAGCCCTTCAAAGGGGTTGAATTCAGAAAGAATTCATAGCGAAACCCTTTTAATCTAACATTTGGAGTAAAAAAAATATAGAGTAAACTTTGGTAGGAACCAAAGAGTTACTTATAAAATTGGCATTAAAAAAATAAAATAAAATTGCAAGCAGTTTGTCAAGGAAAACACTTCTACTTGTGTAATCTTAAAGATATAATCATTGCACTACGTTCTCCACATAAGACTAACTGAGAATTTATTCTCTAATTATTAATTTTAAATCCCTTCAAATCTATTTTTCACTCATTGATACTCCTAAAAATAAAAATTAAAAAACCCACACACAGAAAAAGGATTAAACAAATGCATATTGAATATTACATGTTATATTTTGGATTTTCAACTAATGGGCTCAAAACTACCCATTCAAATCATAACATTCAAAAGTTATCATTTTCCTATTTCAAAAGGAACTGTTATTCCATATTATAACTTTGAATGATAATTGACAAATAAGATTTTGATGTCATGATCTTTTATACATTAACCATATCTTCTGTATTTTCACTCTCGTACAAAACGGCCTAAGTTTTGCTAGATTCACGTTCGCATATATATATAGATATATATATATATATATATATTTTTTTTTTTTCTTTTCAGGTTGTAATGTTGTTCCATTGATGAAATGCACATATAATCACATCAAAGTGGGAATAGTTAATCATATAGACATAGAATTAATTTGCTACCAAAAAAGGGGAAAAACTAGCAAACTAATCAAAGATGGAATCATCAAGTTTTTCCTATGGCTATCTCTTAACACATACTTAATACTATAGGGAGAAAATCAAAGGAATTAAACTCACCTATTTCCAAGAATGGAGTGTAAATGAACAATGAGTTCTTCTTCTTGAGGTGAAAAAGCACCCCGTTTGAGGTCAGGTCTCAAGTAATTAATCCATCTCAGCCTGCAACTTTTCCCACATCTTTGAAGCCCTGCATTTCTAGCAATATCACTCCAACACCCTTGACCATTTCTCAACATATAATTCATCAACTTCTCATCTTCTTCAGGTGACCACAACCCTTTTCTCAGTTTGATCATCATTTTGTTGTTGTTATTCCCATTCCCTTTCATCACCACTTCCTTCCTCATTGTATTAATGTCAACTTTTCAAAACCAATTTTTCTTTTTTCAAAGAAAAATATTGGTTTTTTTGTTTTTTTGTGTGTAGTAGTTCTAACTGGCTTGAATAGGATGGGATGAAGTTATATAGGAAGAAGAAGGAGAGAAAGAGATAAGAGTTGGGAACATAGAAGAGGAGAGGAGATTATGTGAAGTGGAAGCAAATGTTAGAGATTTTTGTGACTTGAGAGTGAAGAAAAAATGAAAAAGGAAAAAGACTTGGAAAGAGTCAAAGACAAGAAGACCAACCGTTCCTTTCTCTACTGCTTAGGTCCCCCTCAGAATCCGTTTTCCACTCAACCAATATAAATTTAACTTACCTTCCTATATTTTAATAACTAATTTTTACTCCCCAAAATGATTTTCATGTTTGTTGTAATGAGAACAATGAATGTATATATGAACATGTAACAACAAAATCAGATGACTTTTCTTTTCTTTTGTCTCTTTTCTTTTCTTCTTTTTAGCTCTATATTCATATTCCCTATCGTATAGTAAACTTCAAATATGATGCTTGTTCAAGAACACAAGTTGCACTATTGCAACCACCCCATATTTAAGTTCGGTTTGAAATTGCCTATCAACGTACGTGAGAAACAATAATGATGATCAGTTAGTGATACTTTCAGTTCATATATGTAAACTTACATCGACTTTGTTTGTCTTATAAAAGAATTATGTGCGTATTAATTCTATTTTAGTTCAACAAAATGAATTTTAATTAATTTTGAAACAGATAGAGCATAAGATATACTCTTATGTAAACTTTAGTGGTGAATCTATAAAGTTGGGGTGCTTAGTTATAGATATATGAACCTTGTTTTATCCATCAATGTCAATTACTTGAGACAAGTTAATTAACTTCCTCATCATAATGCAACGCCTCTCCAAATGATATAAAGCAGAATGACATATAATTAACAAGAAGATCATGATGTAAAAGAGCTGAGGAAGCACGCAATAACCAATTAGATGCAGATACATATTAAACAGAGAATAATTGATCACCCATATAATCTTTTGATGTGGTTCAATGATCACTTTGACTCATCATTTTGAGAGAAACAATAAAATTATTCTTAGGGTTTCCATTATCTTTCAGATTAAGAAAAAATTTGGACTAATTGTTCAATATCTTATACAATGTGATTCATCTTGAATAAAACCGTAACTATGTTTGATGGTAACTTATGTTAAATTATAACTATCGATATATTTACAATTCAACAAGAAAAATTCATCATTGTCGTGTATACGATGAACATTCTGGTTCACCTGGGAACCATATAGTTAGAGTGATCATACATGATACAACAAATCTTCCTTCCGTTGTCCAAAGACGTTCATATATGTTTGTAAACCAAAAAAATTAACCCCACAAAACTATCGTTATCATCATCAACATTACCACTTCATGAAGACTTCATTTTCTCTCTCACTCATTGTCATTTGACACACTTGTGTCTCAAGTGTAATTTCTGTCAAATAGCTGAGGAGAGAGAAAGAGAAACAAATCACAATGAAGCTAATTAAGGTCGGTATAGTATAGTACACAAGAAGTACTTGCAAAATCTAATCAATTTTATATATCATGTACTTATCAAATTGTTAAAATATTAATAGTCTAATGTAACAAAGGCCACGCGTGGGCAACATCTAGACCCATAATTTATTACACGAAGAATGGGAAAGAGATCGAAGAATTCATTGTAAACAAAGAAAAAAAAAAACCATCTCGCTTTCATTGGGAGATTACACAATTCTTAAGCAAAACACCTGTCGGCAAGATAGAGATAGTAGTAGTAGTGTGTGTGTGTGTGTGTGTGTGTGCGTGTTTTTTTTAGTTAGTGTTTTCTTAAAGAAATTCAATTTGATTTGAATATGTATCGATCGTTATTAGCTGTTTAATCTTGACAATATGGGGATGATATATTCATATGGACTGAATCCTTTCTTCTCTCTCCCTTTTTTTGGATGCACCAACTTTTTAATCCTTGAAAAAGAAGACATCATAACGAACTTATGAGTTCTAATGAAGTAATGCAACTTAATGTGTCTATCTTATTGTGTAATCATTACACTACTAAAATTGGCATTTGTTGGCATTTGGTGTTGTTTAGTAGGGTTTCATATATTTATTGATTTGTTGAGAGTGTATTGGTGTATTGTGGAGGAAGCCTATTTCAAGTATTTGTATTATATATAGTAATTTCTCTGGGGCAAATCCAGGGCTGGATAAAAGAAAAATGTAACAAATTACAAATTGTGTTGGTCTAAATATATCTGGTCGTATTTTTTTGTCCTAGTATATATATTCGATATATCAAACCATACATAGAGAGCCTAACTATCAATTCAGGAATCTTTTGTTTTGGTTTAGTTGATTGCATTGAAATTGTAATAATTCGTGAAAAACTACTCGTGCGATAAAAGAAGATAAAAGAAAATTCAGAATCTGATTATTGGTTTTTATTGTGAAAACTGTTTTTCACTTGATAGCGTGCGTAAGCCAGATCGCTCTTAGCTCATTTGTTGAAATGGAAATTTAACCCCCCCTAGTTCCTTTCACTTCGTTTGCATGGGGCCTTTGGAAAACGCTAAAAATACTACTCCCTCCGTCCCATAATTATTGTCCAGTTTAGGTTTTCATTTCTAGTTCAAAATTTACTAAAAGTGAAATCTCAAACTGGATAATAATTTTGGGACAGAGGGAGTATAAAAATTAATTGAATCAATTTAAGTTTATACATCAATTAATGTTCTCTTTCTGTTGCGAAATGAGTATCTTGTTTTTTTTTTTATGAAACTTGTATTGTTGTACATAAAAATTAGTATATAATCATTTTGAAACAAATGAATGTCTAATGAAAAGAAAATTAAAGTCAAGTTTTGTTTAAAAGGTGTCCTTTTCATTTCGATGGTATGAATGTAAGTTGATCCTAAATTTTGATCGATGGATGAAAGAATACAATCATGAATTGATGAAGAATTTAGCAGTGGAAGAGAAGAGAGTAGAACAAAACAAAAAGAGGATAGCATGCTTTTCGATATAATTTGCTTTTTGAAATTCTATTCTCCCACTTGTCAACAAAATGGGATAATTACATTCCCTTGGTGTTCAAATGATAAAACAAACAAATACTCTCTCTTCGTCTAAAAATGTCATGTTTATCGTATATTAGTGTTTTTTTTATTTTTTATTTTTTTGAGATGGAGTAACGTATATATATATTCATAATAACAAAAACTGAACTCCAAATTATTGAAGTTATAAAGTAAAAAATTGAACGAAGCATTCAGATCGCAGTACCAAATATCAGTGTTTCCAAATATTATGATAAACATACAAATCATAGATAATTGAAATTGAACTCTAAATCATTCAAATTGATACATAACGATTTTAGCGATTTGGCTAAAATTGGTCATCGCTGGCTACCCTTCTTATAGTAACAGTAATAACTATTTAATAACAAATACCTTATCCTTCTCAAAATATTCCAATTCAATTTTTTATTTTTAGTATAAATAAAAAATAGAACAAACAACTATTATTTTAAAATGGAAAGAGTAGAAAAGATCAGTGCTAGGAATTGGGTGCCCCTCAAATGAAGTCATTTCAGGGCTTGAGAATGAAAAACACATTATTGATTATTTTGATTTTCTTTTCCTGAAACTTTTATTACCCGAATCAAGTAGAAATTAGTTTAAATAATATGAGCTACTAAAAAAAACAAAAAAAATTGAGATACCAAATGTGTCACCCGAAAATCTCAAATCAAAGAAAGGCGAAAAATAGACAGAAAGAAATTCTGTTTTGGGAACGTAGTTTGCTGCAGAATGCATCTAACAAATATCCTTCTCCGGTCGTTAAGCTTTCAATTTCTTGGGTTTCCTTTCAATTTACCTAATCTTCCCTACCTCTCATCATGCAGATTTTCTTTTTCTTAAACATCCCGTGGAAAACACTCCCGCAGTCCTCTTTCATCTCGTTAAACATGTATCATTGATATCAACCTCAATTCCCATAATAAACTTTGGTAGATACAAAATTCTTCTCACCCAATCAACATAAATCCAATGGCGCCCATATAAAAATATGCATATATGTTGTTAGAACATTCTCACGTAACACTAGAAGCTAACATATTTCCGGGACATTCTCAACAAAGCAGCAATATCCCCCCAAAAAGAACCCTAACTTGCTGTGCGTACAAGTTGAGCAATCCCTTTCAATGTTGAGGCAACCAAACACACAAAAAACAGATGGAAAAAAATCCCCCAACAGATAAGAATTGCCAGCATCTACGTAACTTTTTCATTTTTCCAACATAATCCTATTCTTTTTATATTGTTCATACAAAATGAAGCTGAGAATGAAACAACCCCATGAATCTTTTCAAAATGTAGTACATTTATTTGCAACTGAATTCGTAAAAGGAACAAGGAAAGCCATGGAATTGAAAATCCTGTCTTTCTGCTTTCCTTTCAAGTTAAAATTCGAGAACAAATTAGATGGGGAAAGAAATATAACCAACAATTCAAAGTGCAGCTATCATCAGGTGTTTCAAACAGTTTTAGGTGCTGTGAATAGGTTCCCGCAAGAACCTCTCCATCTGGCGTGCCCTGGTTTTTATGGACATGTCAAAAACCTTTTGGCTGAACTCAACGACGAGCCCACCAAGAATGCTTGGATCAATCTGGAAGCAAACGACCAAATGAGATCTCTAGCAAATTAACAGTCAAAAGTGAATGTTTTTAGTCTCACAAGTATATTAATAAAAACTTGCCTTCTGTTCAATGTGGACCTTCTTTCCTTCTCCAATAACCTCCTGCAGAGTCTCTCTCAGTTCTTTCTCCTCTGCTGGTGGAAGGGGCTGGCAGAAAAGTAGATATCATCAACATATACGGAATTTAATGGTTTTGCACATACTTTTCATCATAAAACATGGCCAGCTTCTTAAAACAAGAATGAGAGCGCATCCCAGATGTTCTTTGTATTATGATTGTTAACATGCTCAACTATCAGAAGTGAAAGATTTGACACTAACCCTTCAAACAACAAGGGAAACTCTATACTACAATGGTCCACAAAGACACTCAGGGAGAGTCTAAAGCAGCAGAACAAAAGGGAAGTATCACAGGTTCTAAAATGTCCCATTGTAAATAAAAGGAAGACTATGAAGAATGAACAAGCAAGGGTCACTTAATGACAACAGTCGTGGTTCAGAACGACATATTCAAACCAAACACCAATCCAATAAGGATCACGTCTAAATGACCTCAACCATCCTAGGATAGTAGTGGTGATTCTTCTGGGAGAAGTTAGTGCCATCCAACAACAAAATAAAAAAACACCTTGCAAGCTACAAAATAATTACTCGTTGTGAGACGTACTAATAAAGCAAAAAGATGGACCAAAAACTAGAAGAGACGACTGTTTAAATCGGCTCAAAATCTGACAAGTGGTAAGGCAATACAGCCACTAGTCTAACACAGATTTCTTTTGCAAATGTTATTACCATGAGATTTTCACTCACAGAATCAGATCTCTAGAGGGAATATACTATAAAATGGGTCATCAGGAAAAGGCAGGCATCTTAATTATGAATACTAAGAAGTGGGGAAAATAAAATTGAGTCAATTGGTATATGAAAACTATAATCTTCAATTTAAAGGGATTAGTCAATCATGCAAATCAGTCTTCTATGATAAAAGAAAGGACCTTGACATATGCACGATAGGGTTTTCTAAATGATAAGATGAAGCTCAAGAGAAAGGAATGTAAAAAAGTAACCAAGCAACTTTTCGGCTACTAATCCACAAACTCAAGGAATCGACCTCAAAAAGTTTTAGGCCACTTCAAGCTTTAAATATTTGTTCTACGCTACAAGTTCAGACTCACAGGAGTGCATAGCAATCAACAAAAAAACATATTCAGCACATGTGTTATAACAAGTCAACAACCAAGAACGTCATATTAATTTCAAGTAAATAAAGCTCATCATTCAGGCACAAAGGCTAATGCGTCGGGGTGGGGGGGGTGTGGTGGGTGGTTGTGGGGAAGAGTTGTTTCAGCAGAAGGAATGCATGTCTTGTACAAAAATCACACACTTATTACTTAAATTACATCCCTACAGTTGAGGAAGACAACTTACGATAACAGTTGTCACAATAGCTTTGACTTCGCCCTTGTGCGCCATGGTGATCTCTTTAAATCTCCTTGCGATGTTTTCAATTTGTGCCAGCCTCCCATTTTCAGCCAAAACAACTAATTCAATAAATAAAAGAATGTGTGATTATGAGCAAATGTCCAATGGCAAATCCATCCCAGAAATCAGCATACGTCAAGACTACTCAGTTTGGGCATAAATCAAGACTCGCCAAAGAAGCAGTGAAAAGCAAATGAGAAGCATACAAGAGTGTTTAAAACATCAAGATGTTGCACTAATAAGTAGTTAACTAACGTATCAAATGTAACATTCATCCAGAAATCTTTGTATTCACAACTTTGTAACCTGAAATACCAACATGCTTTTGTTCATTTTATTCTCAAATTCATCAAACATGCACAACGGTTATTTGACATGTACGAAATTTTATCCCAATGGTTAACTTAATGAAACTCCTATCCAGAATCTTCACATTCCACAAAAGGGAAAATAAAACTTGAGTAAAACCAACAGGTAATTATCCAAACAGGAAATGACTAGAGCATGAAAGAAAATGCAGAATAAGCAGATTGTCCATAACAAAAAAGTACAGAAAAGGATCAAAATCTCAGGTGAAAACTATAATATAGGTGAGAAAAATCAAATACATTCTACCGTAAATTCAAGTTATCAATCTCAGAGCAGTAACACTTTAAAAATAAAAGCAGAAACTCAGAACTACATGCTACGAAATCAGATGGCCATAAACAAGCAATGAAAATGAATCCTAAGATAAGAAACATAAATCCTACTACCTCAGTTCTTAACATTCAAATACAGTAAAAAGCTTCAATGCTCATGCTAAAAGGCATATTTATCAGCTAGGCAACCAATGCATAGGAATATTCAAACACAACACAAGAAAGAGCAACAAACCTAAGAAGTTCTTTGTTATTTCAGAGAAATTGGCCTGAGAAGCAATTTCAGTCAACGCCTTGACTCTAATATCTGTGGGAACTGACAAGTCCTTCATGAACTGAGAAAATTTCGGACTACTTCTCGAAGCCTCAACAAGGTCCAAGAACTCTGATTCCACCTTCTCTAAGGCCTTAGCTTTTACAGCTGCAATGTACAGAGCAGAGGCATAGTTTCCAGAAAGCCCGAACAAAGTTACAGGTACCTAGTACAGTAGGGAAAATTAAAGAGAAAATCAATATAATAGCATCAATTAACACACTCAAGAATGGGCAAATAGGAGAAGACAGATTTGCGCAACTTGCTAGCTTATGGCCAAAAGGAAGAGTTGCAATTCATCAAAAAAGTTTCTAGCTTAAAGATTTATTGCAGCCAATCCATAGGGCACATCAAATGGTTCCCTTCCCAAATACAGCACCATAACACTGACATTTGCAATATCAAAAAACAATTGAGTTTAACAAGATATTCATGTGGGAGCAAGATGATGATCAGTTCCTATCAGCTCCATGATTATTTAAAAGGCGGATGAAATATCAACCACATCTAGTGCTATTACTGATCTATAAGCTTCAGAGATAAAAAGAAGAGTGGTAGCAAATCCTATCAAACTTAGGAACCTAATTCTGATTCCAAAGTCTAGACAGAAATACGAAACAGTGCACATATAGTTTAAAATGCAGACGTAAAAAATGCCAGAGTGTAGCATAGAACAATTAGAATTCCTTGCCTTGATTTTTTCCTCCTTGGGAGCAGCTGCGGCAGCATAACTCCTTGCAAACTGCAAGTAGAAAAACTAAATAAGTAACAGCCAACTTCAACAGAAGCCATAAACAGTATCTGACATTTCAATGAGAATGAACACCAATTTGGACGGCAATTCACAAGAATATAACATCTCGAAATAAAATCGCCTCTTCTGAATTTTTTATGAGGCTGGATTGGTATACCAAATAATAGAAGGCACAAACTATACTGAACCTCTATCCCGACATCAAAAAGATAAAAACTTTTCTCCCTTTTTGCTAGTTCAATTTGGCTCATTTCCAATTAAAAGAATCCATAGACCAGAACGCTTTCAAATTTTTCCAGAATAAAAGTTTAAAAAAGTAAAACAAAGTCCATCCGAAATGACTCAACAGAACAACATTTCCACTCTCAGTCAGCTTTCTGTAAATTAAAACTAGGGTTTATCTCCTTTTACTACCCTAAGACTCCCTACCACCATATCTCCGCACATCCAGCTTTTTTTCACCAAAATGATTCAATAAATCTTCGCGCACATCATCTCCGCTCAACACAAAAAAAAAGAAAGGAAAAGACTAAAAGATAAATCATCAAAAACTATAGAGAAATGAACGATTTCGGACCTCGGTATTGGTGGCGGTAGGGGCGAGGAAGGCACGCTGGAGAGAAGTGGATCTCTGCGCGGAGGAGGAAGATGAAATAGAATCGGCAGCGAGGATCTTACGGAGAAGAGGGATGCCCGATCTCAAACGCCCGGCGGCCATTGATGCAGTTTCCCGGCGACGGCGAAATGTTTCACAGCCAAAATTGTTTAATTTGGGGAAAGACAGAAATACTGAACAGTAGAAGAGAAAATGGGTAAAATGGGAGCGTGGAGTAGCTGCCTGCCCTGCCTAGGGTGTTGACGATTCGGGTTGTTGGTATCGGGTTAACGGATAGTCAAATATCAGTTTTATCGTTTACTTCGGCCCTTTTTTTTTTACCCCACCTTAAAAACTTAAGTGAATTCCTTTTTCTGAAATCTCCCATGAATTTTTCCACTGCCTTCTTCTTTTTTCCCTGTCTCTGACAGTAATTTGCCATTAGGAAACCAAGATTTAACCAGCAAGAGTACATTCATTTTGTTATCATTTTCCTTGGCGGCTCAACAATTAAATTTAGAAATATAATATGGATAGTAAAAATTAATAGTGAAAAAAATTATGACTAATGTAAAGTATTGTGATATTATTTTTTGACACTTATCCGTTAAGATGTTATTTTTCCCATAAAACTACACTTTTTCTCCTAATTATTAAGTACTCACTATGAATTCTCGCTGGATTATTATCATTGATTTTATCATTACTATGTAATTTATTTGATAATAATTGGTATCGATCTATTTTCAACTTTGATTTTAAGGCAGCTATTTTATTAATAAATGATCGAATGAATGGAATTGGTGAGACGAACAAAAATGATCCTCATTTAGAACATTTTTTAGCAAATACTTTCACAGAAATATAAAATATATATATATATATATATATATATATATATATATTGAAACTATAAATTATAAGATAAGGATTTGAAAAAAAAGAAAATAATTATGAAAGGTGTTTCCAAACATCTTATAGAGAAGCTTTCAACTGTTTCATTGTTTGTTGTTAGTAGCACCAAAACCACCATTCATTGCCTCAAAACTCAAAAGAATGCCTGATATTTGATTGTTTTCAGTAACAAAGATATTGAGACAAGAACACTTAGCACCAAAGCGGATGGGTTTCATGAAGTCACAATCTCCCTCTCCCAAGGTCAGTACTTAATTTTCCATAGTACAGAGGAATTTGCATCATCAACAGCATACTTCAACGAAGTCGATATGTCAGCTTCTCCAAGTGCATTTAACTTAGACCTCAACATCGAAAGAAGCTCCCTGTAACGTGACTGCTTTCTTGATAGAGCTCGAATAAAGGCAGTTAATCCTAGCCACTTCACTTCCTTCTTTCCTACTTTGAAGATCGGACGAAAGTCTGTATTGCTCTGCAAAACATGCATCCTTCTCTTGATGAGCTTGTGCATGTACCTGACAATGTACCATCACTTCTTGAATGCACAGAAATATGAACACCTTGGAAGAACATAACAGAACAAAACTATTTCTTAGGGGTGAAAAAAAAGAAGACCAAGCAAAAAGATCATTATGAAGAAAGTCAACTAGTTGTTTAATACCTCAAAGATGTCTCAATTGCATCAATGCAGCACTCGGTGCTGAAAGCAGATATATCGGAGAAGTTGCAGACATAACAGTTGAACTTCATGGCACTCAGCAAAAAGACTTGATATATGTTTAGCCTGACCACTGCAGCTGAATTGATATTAGCATCATAGAGCATGGGATGGCATTTTGGTCGCAGATAATCAGATAACTTGGACTTTAACAGACGGGCTGGGTGATCGTTCCAGCTGATAGTGAGAGATGTACTCAGATGACAATTGAGGTATCTGTTAACACATATTGGGAGTCAATTCCAAAGGACATAGAACAATATCACGTAGCGAAAGGTAATCAAGCATTTTCTTGTAAGAGAAGCAAACTCTTATCAAATTCTAAAGTGTTTGGTCCCAAAATGGAGACTTCCAAAATAATAAAAATCAGCAGCACAACCAAACGCACCGCATCAACAAATGAGCAAGAGCAGGGGGAATAACCTTGAGTAGTCTGCCTGAATTTCTAACGTGGAGCAATTAACAAGCAATCCACTCCATCGAAGAAATGACATTCCATCTTTACCTACATAGAGTCGATTTGGCTCAAGTCCGGCTAAGTTGTCAATCTCGAAATTGAGACCAAATTTTCTTTCATTCATATAACAATTGTATTCACGATATCCTCTTTGCAACTGCAAGAAGAACAATAAGGCCTGCTTCTTTGATGTCGATATGAAAAGGAAGTCATCAATAAACCTAAGGAGCAGATATTCACAGTTTTGGACGAAAGTTCCATCTTGAGGATGGATATCTGAAGCTGATGAGCGATAAAGAGGTTGTTCAAAAATATCTCCATTAGCCATCTGACCAGTTTTCTCAAGAAAAGGGAATATTACATTCCTCTCTAGATGTCCATAGTAAAACGAACAGAGCAAAGAAGATAGAACACATCCTTGAGAGATACCAATTTTCTGCAAGTAAAACTTTCTATCAAACTGAAGAACATTATGCTTGATGTATTCCTTCAAATGAGAGAAAATCTCTGACTTCTTCATCTTTCCACTGGGTTCCTGCATCCTCAAGAATGTAAATCATTCAAACCAAAATTTACCTGGAGTCTAGTCACATTGTTGATATCATCTTAGGAAGATTAAAAGAAGGAAGGATTAGAATAAGAAAATATCTGGAAAGGAAAGGGAAGCTGTTCAATTTGGCCTCCTGCTTAATTAACTTCGACAACGGCTTAGCTGGTCTTAGCTCCAGCCTTTTATTTGCTCATCTATGGTTTTGCAGTGTTCAAGAGGTTATTATTTGATCATAAGCTGTTGATAAAAGAAGCAAGAAACTTATTATCTGACACACTCAAGTTTACAAAAGTGGACGTTATCATACGTCATGTGTAGATCACTCTGAGAAGTAACCTTTAACAACACAAATGCTAAAATCGCAAAGTGAAAATCAAGCTCAAGACAAAAAATGTTCCAGCTGGAGAGGAACTGAGTTTCCAGCTCACCCAAATACATCCAAGGGATGAACACTGAAAAGTTAGAAGAATGTAAAATCGCTCTACCTAGATCATCACTATATTACACTTTTGCAAAAGATTTATCTTAAAACTTTGAGTTTCACATTAACTGGTTTCTAAAATAACAAAAAATAGCATGTATGTTTTTCATCGTTTGTCCTAAACTCATGCAATAAGTTAAAATCCAAAGGAATCATTATGTACTTTCAAATGGAGACGAAGAAGCACAGCAAACCTCAAACAGTTATCTAAAGAGAATGAGTTTTCAAGGTAAAATAGATGTGGCTTCTATCTATTCAGTAAAGGTTCCTAAATGGCTAAATCTAGCCGCAAATTGGTGTGCCTTTCAACCGTATTCAAAAAGCAAGCTCAAGCACCAATGAATTCTAAAAGAAAAGGGCAAGGGAATGGGACAACTTGATACACTGAAAGAGTAGGCAAAAAACATTTCACCTCTTTCACCAGGATACCATGTGGAGTGCTGATGGGTACAGGACTTGGAGATGCAGAGCACCGACTGTTAGGTTCTTGAAGCGGTAACATCAGATTCTGGCAAACCATGAAAGATTTTCTTGTGCAGCCAACTTGCAGAGACTTGCTTAGAGGATATGCATCGAGTGATATCACATCCTCCATAACATTGAGCAATCTATTCTGGTCAATAGAGTCAAAAGCCTTTGAGACATCTGATACAATGACATAAACAGCAGGCATAGTGGAAGATCCGCGCTTCAGACTATTCACAAAAGGTACAAATCTTTTATAAACATCTGTGTAATCAAAAACTGATGAACCTAATTTCTCTGGTTCTTTCAGTTGTATACCCTTAAGCACCGCATGCACACCTTGGAGAACATTGTTCACAGACTTATAATACTTGTATTTCACATTTCTTGGATCGAAGGACTTAAAAGGAATTCTAGATGGTGCTCTTAGGTTTGCCAATACCCTGAAACCTGTATCCCTTGGACGAAATCTGATTTTTGAGAAACCAAATGATCTGTATCTGATAATGTCATGGACAGATGCATCAGTTAATTTGTGATACCCTCCATCTTCGAGGCTACCCAAAGCTTGGTCCTTCAGCTTCTGCCAAACATTCATCCTGTAATAATACACCTCTTGTTTCCCATTTTCACTTTCTGTTATATAAAAGTTAGCTTCCATCAACGGAACCACCAAACGAGAAAAGAACCATAGTATCCAGCATTGTAACAATTTGTGTCTCACTACGTCGGCAGAATTTTTCTTGTTAGAATTCTGGAGCATAACTGGACTATCCCTCTGATCACAGGTAAAGTCATTGTTGCAAACATAACATAAGGAGTGCTTATTGGATAACAGTGGAAACTTGGATATTTTTAACTTGTGAGTGCACTGTTTCAAAGAGAACTTTTCAAATTTTCGAAGGGAAACAAACTTGGATATGTTTTTCCTCAGAATTCTCCAATTATAGGGACTGCCAAGCAGATCTTGCGGTACTATACTCCGACAGACAGCCCATATAAATGAGACAACCTGCTTTTTAAGACAGTACCCCATGCTTGACTGTAATTGGTCATGGGCCTTTGGAATCTTCGTGCAACTTTCTGAATTTGTTCGAGTGAACTTCTTAGAGGAAAGATCCAAAGCATGCAAAGTCTGATTCTTGTTATGCATAAGTCCCCCAGATTCACTTCCCTGAAACATAAATAATGAAATTGATACAGTTCTAAGTTCCTACTTTTCATAGTTCAACAAATACAATTAATAAAGCTTAATTATTCTCATAAAAAACTGAGTGTTTGCATATTTGTAGATCCATTTCTAAAAATTGAAAACAGGATTCAGGCTATAATCCTTAAATGTTCCTAATGAAGAACACCAGAGGGGAGAAATTTTTTGGCAAAAAAAAAGAAGTGTATCTTCCTATCTACTTGCGCGGTAAAATAAGGATAGCAACCAAGAAGGAAAGACAGTTACTCCATCATGCCTCTCCTGAGGGATAACAAAGAAAAGAAGGCTGCAGTAATCGGATGATTGACAGAACTTTTCCCGTTGTCGGGGTGGCGGGGGCCAAAACTGTACATTAATTTCCTTATTGTTGCACATTTCTTAGTTAAAGAATTTAGCAGGTTAACAGTTCATAATGAATAAAATGCCAATTTTAATTTGATACCATGTCTTACTTCTCAAAAACACAGCAAAATTAAGTCCAACCTGAAACACTTTGGATGTTTTGACATGTTGCTCCAAAGATGACATACCACAATGTTTTTCCAACAAACTCTTAGGTTGACAACCCTTGACATTGCGTATAAGAATTTTTAGCTGCTTCATGAGTGAGTGATACCTGGATTAAAGAAAAATTATTATCCAGATTAACTGCAAGGCTTCTCAAGTTCTGAACCTAAATCCATTCATATTTTCATATGACAAAAAATCACATAATTTTAGAGTGTATCACATAATTTAATCCTGTAAATAAAGCTGTTCAACTTATAAGGAATTTGTTGAATGTAAATATAGACATTAAGAACCATTTAAACGATGGGACGCTATGCATCAGTCTGAAGATATAATGAAGGTACTGGAGGCTAGCTCCTCCATATGTTATTGCTAGATGTTTTTTCAAAATTAAATTAAGACTTTGACGCAATAATTTGCTGCAACAATTTTCCAAGACTAGCAGCAGTTTTGACTAGCTCGATAGAGTGATACATGAAGCTACCTACAACCCTTCAAAGTGGGACAAAGGCTAAGCTGTGATAATCAATTTTGTAGTCAAAATAGTTTTCTCAATGAAAACTTTAAAACACCAGTCACACATACAAATTTGTCAAATTTCTTAACATTATTTAACTGAAATAAATTGAAATTTAACAATAAGTGGGCAACAATCACAGAAAACATTTCTTTGAGTTTTAAGGTTATTTGAACATCAGAAAAGAACAACATGTGACAGTCATCATCCAGTGGATCCAAATACTTGATTTCTAAGAAGATAAAGTAAAAGGAAGAAAAGATCCCTAAGGACAGTGGTATAGTTAGGAGAGATGTTTAGATCAATTAAACCTAACTAATCCAAGAGGGTTATGCATCATTTCACATATAAAAAAAATGTAACTGCACCACTTCAGCATAACTAGAATCAATGATGCAAATGTTTTAGCACATATGCCACAAATAGGCAGGTCAATCAACCTCAGTAGTTTGCTAATATTCAAATCACCTAACTAAATGGGAATCTAAAACTGCAAAACTTACAGGCATGGAGATTTGATGAAACAAGATTTGGTGCCATGAACACATAGAACTGAGGGATCAGTCAAATAATTATCTGAAGAACCAAAAATATCTTTAAATAGAACTTTTGCACCTGAATAATTTGACTTCACTGAATTCAAAATATCTTATATTGCCACGGTCAAAGGAAAATGTCGTTAGAGAAAACCAGAAATAAATATTAAACACAGCAATGATAATTGATCAATCTCCTTAGTTGCAGGTTGAAGTATAGTTTGCGGGGGTGACAGGTGAAAGGATATACATTCAGCAAGGCAGTTAAAAAAAAAAACAAAACAGTTTTAACTAAACAGTATTAATAAATCTTTACCCAACAAGTTCCATGATGGCATGATGCAAACTAGCTAGGATAGCCAACCTAATTAACATAGTACCAACTAGTTTGATGGCAGAAATATGTAGTAAGAGATGCATAGGGTACAAGGAAAGAACAAAGCATTAAATTTAAAGACTGACGTAAGAGGATACGCTTCCTTGGGAAAATGGATGGGGAATTCTCCGCCTTATAGAAGATGGTTTGCCTGTCAATCAGAGATTTTCTACTGACCTTAGAAAGGGTTCCAAACACTAAACAGCAAGAGCAACTTCCCTGGAGAAGCAAATACTTCAATAAGCATCACATTGAGGGTCTAGAGTTATGCTAAAATATCTTTGGAAGTTACAAAATCATAATTTTTAATGCACAAAGGATCAAGAGAGGAAAACATATATACATAGAAGAGAGAGAGAGAGAGAGAGAGAGAGAGAGAATAATTGAAGCCATAGAAGGCTGCCAACAAATTCCAGTTTGCAACTTTTGAATTGCTATATTCTTGACATATAGAAAAATCAAGTCACACTGTAGCTACCAGGCCATAACCCCGCCCACATTTAAATAACTCCACAGTAACATTTCCAGAGCTATCATGCAGCGTAATGCTCTTCATCTTTGTAAAGTTTTTTTTACAACCTAACCTCTTCTGGTTCTTGTTTCTCAACCACGTCTGAATAAACAGTAGATCAGAAAGAAAAACTGGTATCTGTTACCTAATAATCTAAGTTTGGAAAAGTCAAGTTGACTGCAAAAACTTTAATTCATCCAAAATGAGAGTTCAAGCCAAAGTAACATGCACTGCATAGGTAGAAAACAGAACTCACACAGGTTGACAGGGGTATTGGATCAACACAGCAAAACAAATTGGATAAAACTTCAAAATGGACACAAAAACATTGACACTGTAGTTTGCAAAATCACCTTCTGAGAGTAAAAACCTGAATTAGTTTCAACTCCATATTGAGGCCCTGCACATGAGTTATCTTTGTCTTTATGGCTACCCCTGCAAGGAACCAATAGAACACTCTCCTGAGAGCACAAATTCCTGGGCTTTCTGTGTCGCTGCCAACTGTACTTCCTCTTGCGCTTCTTCGATGTCAAAACACGGGTTGAGTTCTCACAGAAATTCCCTGGGAAAGATGCTTCATTTGATAAACACTCAGCTCCAGGAGGTATTTCAGTCCTATGAATCTCAGTCTTTTCAAAGAGCTTTTGCCGGCAGCACCTACTTGATGGAGCAAAACTATTTCCACCACTACAACCAATACAACTAGAAGAACTTGAAGAAAGGTCATTATCAAGATGGCTAGGCCTTGCCGGATTCTCTATCCCATGTGTCCCATCCACTCTTTTCCTTTTCTTCCCAGATCCTGAAATTGTGCCACAACTTTCAACAGGACTAAGAATGGAAATCACTGAAGTTATCAATGAAGTAAATGAGCAAATGCTCTTCACGCAAGAACGTATCGCAAAACATAATGCATGCAGAGATAAATTTTCAACAGCGGTTTATCATAACCAACCAACATGTACGGCGTGCATCCAATGTTTACTGATTTAGTTTACCGCAGCTAGCTGAACATCAACTTCTAAATAATTAAACCTCGTACAAGGTTTTATCAGGAACTGACAGAATTAATTTTCTAGGACCCAGAAACAAAGCTTTGACCAGGGTTATTTAGATCCCGTTTGATACTAGTCTCCTCAGCTTTAACTTTCATTTCAGTAAATTGAAAAGTTTCTCATGATCCATAGAGCCAACTCCACATGATGGGGTAAAAGACTTAGCTGTTTATGGTACTTTCTGGTGTTGGAACAGAGTCCATTTCTTTCATAACTTGAAGCCCATTATCAAAAAGGAATCATTTACACATAATTCTTAGTGCAATGAAGCATTTTTCATACTCTTACAGAAAAAATAAATAAATAAAGAAAAAAATTTAAAAAAAAAAAATCCATTTCTCTAGCTTTCCACCCAATTCTAACAGGTGGTTTAACTCTGACTTCTCATGCCTCCATGTCCAGATGGACATAACAAATTAGCTGGTGAACCCCAAAAAAAGAATAGTTTATTTGCATAGACGATTTACATTCCAGCATGATAATGATATATTTCACCAGAAAAGGGGGTTTACCAAGATTGAACTTCGAGGGATAGGTTCTAAATTTAGATGAATGTTTTAAGAATCCCATGCACAAATTACTGATGGGAAAGCCTGCAACTTGATGATGTTTCCTTGGAGGAAAAGGCAAAAATATTAATGCATATCTCAGTAAATAAACCATAAGATTGTCCCCAACCTGCAAACAATACAATTTGAAGTCAAACAGAGAGATATCACAAGTATGTTCACTATTACAGTATATGAAACCCGAGAGAGTGCTACGTTATACTAACCCTTCTCAAGAGGAGACACCATGCGGAGGAGGTCAGATGTTCTACCATGGAACTCTGGCGGTTGGTCTGCCAAATATTTATCAAATGTAGGTACATTAATAGTGAAGATTTCAATAATCTTCATAGTCAAATGTAGGCACATAACAAACAGTTTGACTATACAAAGATTCTCTTGGCAACTAACCTTATCATAGCCAATGCATAGAACATTTGAGGATGAAGGTTGTTCACGGCTAATCATTTCAATAGTTCTTCTCACAGTCTACAACAAGACAAAATTAAATTCAGCTACAATACATTTGATCTGAATCAGCAGAGCATTATATCCTTATACCGCACAAACCAAACTCAGAAGATCATTGACCGATTCCCCCAGAAGTTTAATCTGCCCTTTACACAATTAATCATATAAACCATAAGTTGAGAACAAAGATATAACAATAAATCATGATCTTTGTTCCTCATCCAATAATATTTCAATGATCACACACCCCCATCAACCACTAAGTTCTTCTTCTTAAAGAAAAAAAAGACCCAGATGCAAGGGGTTATACAACTAACTAAAGCCCGAAAATTTAGAGTCCTCTAACAGTACAATTAAAGAAGAAAAAAGGAAAGGAACCCCTTTTAACATAATTGATGTGGCAGGTTATTTAAAAATCTTTCACAAAATCAACCGGGCCGGCTACGAAACCACTTGTAAGTCGTCAACAATCAGCAGAAAAGACGCTCGGATAAACTCAAACTATTAATAACGAAAAAAAAAATGAGGAAAAAGAGCTTGATTTCCGGCCAAAATGAGAACCCCACCCGGTCACCGACGGCGGTGGAGGGAAAAAAAAAAATCAAAGTTTAAGTTTTCCCGCCAAAATGAAGAACGCTAAAATTGAGATCGAATAAATGAAAGAATCAGCCAGACGATGACAAAAAGATGAAACCTCAAGTTGCGACCAGCGATTGTGGGGATCGAAGCTAGTAAAAGGAGGAGCTTGGTCAGGAATGACAACGAAGCACTGATTGAGTAATTTCCGGTAATCGGCGGGATCTTTTGGCCTAATCAAATACGCCATCGCTTTATCGCCGGTACAGCCAAGGCAGCGCCGCCCTTCGCATTGACAATCAGCCACCGCCCGCGGCGGCGACGGGAGCAACGACATTACAGTATCCGAGAGTGTGCGGGCATTCTTGTGGAAAAGCCTCCATAACACCTCCGGAATTTGCTTTCTCTTCTTACCCTTCGCCATTGACTGGACAGAAAATCAATTGGATTCTCTCTCTATATCTTCTTAATCGACGGTTGAATTAACAACAAGAGAATGGCAAAAGTCGCCATTGTTGATTTTGGGAGCTGAATGCTGTCGCATTCTTGTACTTGAAATTCCTAAATCCTGTCAAAAGTGAGACCTAAATGCTGATCGTAATTAAGGTTTAATTGCTGTGCTTAGTTCAGTGTTTCCACTAAACCAAAAGCTTTAAGTCAAGCTGTGTGTGGCTTGTCATGGAAGCCAAGTAGCCAACAGTAACTTTGCGATTTACCGATGCGCAATCAAAATAAAGTGCGAAAATGGCAAATTACATTTGCCTCCCCAAGATTTGTGGAAATCAAAAATCCAACTGCAAAAGATAACTTACAAAATTCTTCGTTTTGATGAGCTCATTTTAAGACTAAACTGTATAAATGGTCCCCTACATTTGTCCGAATTTAAATTTTGGTCCCCTACATCAACATGTATATGAATTGAGTCTTTACATTTCATTTTGAAATTTTTTTGGTCTCTTTTCACTGTTTCGTCACCATTTTCGTCTTGATGACCATTGACCCTACCAAGTCAGGGGTATTAATGACACATATAAGATCAAAATAACAAATGTTTTTATAATAAAATATTAAAAATTATTATTTTATAATAAAAAATTAAATAATGTAAAAATAAAAAAAATTAAAATGATTTCAATTTTTTTTTCACTTCCCACCTTTGTGGGTCCCACATACCAGTCAATTTTTCCCTTTTTTTTTGCTACAGTAAAAAAAATCAAAATTAAAAAGTAAACTTACCTTCACCCGTCTTTTACCTTTATCCTTAAAAATTTTATTCTCATAATCCGAAATGCCATTTATTAATTTTATTCTTACCAAGTCACTGCTGGTAAAGGTAAAAAACGGGTGAAGGTATGTTTGCTTTTTAATTTTGATTTTTTTTTACTGTAGCAAAAAAAAAGACGGAAATTGACTAGCATGTGGGACCCACAAAGGTTGGAAGTGAAAAAAAAATTTTGAAATTTGAAATTTGAAATCATTTTAATTTTTTATTTTTATTTTTAAATTATTTAATTTTTTATTATAAAATAATAATTTTAAATATTTTATTTAATTTTATTATAAAAACATTTGTTATTTTGATCTTATATGTGTCATTCTGAAAATACCCCTGACTTGGTAGAGTCAACGGTCATCAAGACGGAAATGGTGACAGAAAAGTGAAAAGAGATAAAAAAAAGTTTCAAAATGAAATGTAAAGGCTCAATCCATATATATGTTGATGTAGGGGACCAAAATTTAAATTCGGACAAATGTAGGGGACCATCTAAACATTTGTTATTTTGATCTTATATGTGTTATTCCGAAAATACCCCTGACTTGGTAGGGTCAACGGTCATCAAGACGGAAATGGTGACGGAACAGTAAAAAGAGACCAAAAAAGTTTCAAAATGAAATGTAAAGGCTCAATCCATATACATATTAATGTAGTGGACCAAAAGTTAAATTCGGACAAATATAGGGGACCATTTATACAGTTTAATCCTCATTTTAATGAAAAAATTTGGAAGCTCATTTTGCCATTTTGGTACTCCATAGCTGTACTGTATTGATTTAATTTCAAATACGCTTATTGTGTTTTTAATATTGATGGATAACCATAAGAGTACAGTACATATAACATCTCACTGGCCCATTTACCTAAATAGACCCAAAAAAAAAACAGTAGAAATTTATATTTTAATTTTTTTTTGTGGTCATGAAAACATTTGCCGGAAATCAATTTTCCGTTTTTCTAACTATAATTTAAAAAACGGACTTTCAATTTCCGTTTCCTTATTTTGAATTTTAAAATAATTAAAATTGAAAAACCCAATTTCGCTCGGAAAAAAAAGATAGGAAATATTAGGGGAAATTTTAAACGGAAATTGGAATTCCGTTTTCTTATCAATACAACAACGGAAGACGCAATTCCGTTTTTCATGTCATTAAAAAACGGAAAACGGGATTCCGTTTTTCTGTTATGAGGTTGTCAGCTGTATTATTGGTCTGACACTGATAATCTGACACTGATAATCTGTAAGAATCAGAGCTGCAGGCTTTAATCAAAAAATTGAATTCTAAAATCCGTTTTTTGGTTTATATATGAAGAAGAATTGACACTGTTACCAGATCTGGAAAGTTTTGAAAGGGAAGAAAAAAATATGAAGACGTCTGCAGTTTGAACCTGTTTTTTACGCCTGAAAATTGTTATCGTCAAGGTTAGTATAGCGTTGATGTTATTTGTTTCCTTTAGTCGTATTGTATTAAATTAATTAATTATTGGTCTTATTAAATTCGAATTAGAATGTTTAGTATGAAAATATTGAATTTATTAGGAAATTCGATATGGACAGTTATATTGGGAAATTTGGACTGTTTTTTGAAACATTGGATTGTTTATGGAAATTTAAACTTTTTATTAGGAAAATATTGGATTGTTTGTTTAAATGATGGACTGCTTATGGAAATCTGGGTTTTTTTTAAATGCTGGGTTGTTTAAGAAACAATGTTGGACTGTTTATCCAAATACGGACTGTTTTATTTGGAAAAAATTGTACTGTTTTTTAAATGTTGGACGATTTATGGAAACTTATACGGTATTATTTGAAAATGATTGTACTGTTTATGGAAATATAGAGACTGCTTTTTTAAGAAATATTTTATTTTTGACAGAAAAATGGCATGGAATGGTCCATATTTTATTAATGTGTACTGGAGAAATAAATATGTTGTGGAAGATGGCACGATCAGAACATTTGATAACAGGGCAGATGCGACATTAGTTATTAAGCGGAAGCTGTCGTATTCTGAGTTTTGGGCAGAATTTGTGATAAAGCGGGTTGGGATAGAAATTATGTAAATCTGAGAATTAACTTGTTGTTTGAAAACAACGGTGTAAGACGAAGCACAACAATTACGGACGACTCGTCAGTGGAAATTATTTATTATTTTTCAGGTTCATCATATTTGGAGCTATATGTTGAAAATGAAGACACGGTGCAGGCCCAAAATTTGTTAGATCTGTCAGGACAAAAACAGGATGTTACATTTGTGTCGCAACAGGACCAGCAATATTGGATGAATAATTCTCAACATGCAGAAGCAGGGCCTAGCAGGAGCAGCGGCGATGGATACGTTGCAGAGGGACATGGTGGGGGTCAAAATGATGACTTTGATTCATCAGATGAGGATGATGCATTAGACGGGACTTATGTAGAAAGCGAAGAAGAAGTTGACTACCAAACTGATGTGTCTGACGAAACCGACTTAAAAGATGAAGAACAAGAAGCAGACGTAGGAGCAGAAGCAGTGCAGAACTTAGTTACGTCTGGTTTTGGTCAGCATGTTTATTCAGACATTGGTGATTATAAAAATAGCATACTGCATCGAGATGAATTTGAAGTTAAGATGTGAAAAGGTGATAGAGAAAACCTTGATTTGAATACCTGTTTCAACAACAGGGATGAAGTTGAGGCAGCTATCGAAGACTGGAACATATATCACAACAGGCAATTTTATGTTCTTTCTTCTGGACGTAAGTCATGGTCTGCAGAGTGCGCGACAAGAAGAATGCAAACTCCAATTGGGCAATCTACTTGTGCGTGGAGGATGCGTGCATCTTTTAAGAAGAATGGTCTGTGGCAAATTGTGTCCTGGGTTGATCGTCACAATTGTGTTGGAATAACCAGACAAAATGACCATCGCAATTTGAGGTCGAAGTTAATAGCCAGACTTATCAGGCGTAGTGTTGAAAATGATCCTGGTTTTAAGGTGAAATCAATCAGGGATGCTGTGAAGGAAGCTTATAAGGTGGATGTGAAGTACAAGAAGGCATGGCATGCAAGAAGAAAAGCTATCGAAGCGTGTTATGGTAGCTGGATCGACAATTTCACGGAATTGCCATGGTAAAAATTTAAAACTTATTAGCTTCCGAATTGCCATGGTTTTTCAAATGCACACTGTTATAATTCACTGTTATAATTCTTGGATTATTGGACTCTATTGTATTTATGATAGGTATATGGCTGCACTACAGAAATCTAATCCCAACACAGTTGTTGAGTGGAAATGGCAGCCCGGGACTGAAAATGATGAATATAGGGTCTTCAAATATGTTTTCTGGGCATTTGGTCCTTCTATTGCGACCTTTCATATGTGTCAACCTGTTGTGAGTATTGAGGACACACACCTTTGCGGTCAGTACAAGGGTAAGCTTCTTGTAGCAATGGTGAAAACTGCTAACAACCATATCCTGCCCATTGCTTTTGCAATTGTAGATGAGGAGAGCGAGGAAAGCTGGTCATTTTTTCTCTGTAATTTGAGGCTTCATGTTATACACGACCGAATCACGTGTCTTATATCAGACCGGCATAAGGGGATAATCAGTGCACTGAAGAATAATGCCGATTTGTGGCTTGAACCATATTTTGGATACCACAAGTATTGTCTTCGACATGTTCGGAGTAACATAGTGGCGAAACACAAAAAACAAATAGCTCGAACAAATCTGGTGTGCTGGAAAATGGGCAAGAAGAGGCAAAATCACAAGTTTCTAAAATTTCAGCAACAACTGAGAGAGTGCAATGAAGCAGGTCTTGCTTATATGATGGCTTTTCCGAGGGGGAGGTGGAGTCTTGCCTACGATCAAGATTATGCACGTTGGGGCATGTTGACAACAAATATATCTGAGAGTTACAACAATGTTCTGAAGGGTGTTCGATTTTTACCAATTAGAGCTGTGGTGGAATCGACTTTGGCGAAGACAATTAAGTTCTTCCGTGATCAGTATGCAGATGCCTTGAAGTGCAATACTCCTATCGGAGATAAATATTGGAAGAAATTCTGTAAGTATGAGAATACAGCATTAACTCACAAAGTGGAGCTGTATGATTTCCAGCAACAAGTGTATGGGGTCATTACAGGTTGGCGTCGTATAGGGAAAGG